TTTCCTTTGAGGAGACCCCCCCATTTTTTCCCAGTGGTTTTCATAATACCCTAGGGTGTTTTATCCGGAGAATACGGGTACTTTGTTGCATCATCACGAAATGCTATTGTTAGACTGAAATGTTTGTGTTTGTGTGTGTGTGTGTGTGTGTGTCTGTGTGTGTGTGTGTGTGTTTTGTTTTTTTTTTTTTTTTTTTTTTTTTTTTTTTTTTTTTTTTTTTTTTTCATGTGAAAGGCCACCATTCCAATCCAGGTTGTAGCAGTTCTAGATCAGAATTAGTTGATAGAATGGAATTTGGAGGAGTGAATATGTACCATGGTTGGGAGTCAGAACGTAATAAAGAAACAGATCTATGCAGTGGGCTTACATGAGCCCTACCGGCAAATTCGAAGTTAGGGCGGGCACGCCCTTAGCCCACTAGTCTCCTGCAACTTCAAATCACGCGTGCATCTTTGGTTGAAATAGTAATGAATTGTTGCATCTTAGCGATTCGGCTGGATCATTCTGCTAATGGTTTCCATTTCAAGGTAACCCGCCCAGATCCGATCTTACAAGGTTCTTGAAGCTTAGGGATTGCCGAAGCCTAGGCATTGCCGAATGACGAGGCGACGGCGCGGTCGCGCGGCGGTGGTGGTGGTCGGCGATGTGGGTCGCAGCCCTCGCATGCAGTACCACGCGCTGTCGCTAGCCAATCAGGTGAATCCAACTTCTCGCGACAGTTTTCGCCAGCCGTGATCTATACATACTGCTAGCCAATACTCGTTTCGTCAACGCATTCACTTGTTACATGGCGAACAACCCGCGCGGGATTCATTTGCCGAATGTTGTATGAGGTGACAGTAACCTTAATGTGAATAGTGATTTACTTTCAAGGCCGATAAGTGTGCTGGAAAGTTAAGAACAGTGAGTTGAATATGCCTTATCCTGCGCTACCGTGCTGCAGCCAATAGATCCTTTCAATGGACTCCTATCGCGGCGCCATTGTCACCAAGTTTACGAATTGCGTTACTTAACATGTCACGGAGTATCTTATAGTGAGTATTATCGATTCGCGTTACTTATGGTACGTTGTCTTGATTGTTGCTTCGGAACGTGCAGGCGGGACTAGAAGTCGACCTTATCGGCTACGCAGGTTAGTCTATATCGAGAGTACGGAATGGAAGTACTAGGTTTTTATCAGAATCGAAAGTGTTATTGGATCGAATGAAGCCTGCACATCATTCGACAAAACCTGACATTGCTGTATCCATGTGCAATTCGAGAAAGAAAGTTTCGTTCTCCGCTCATAATAATATCCTCACCATTTTCCTGCTTACTGCTCCGTTCTTCCCTTCCCTCTGCTCCACCCCTCTATTCCGCGTGTTGCTGTTTGCTTTTCGTCCCATCCCATGCTCTCTCCTGTCTCCCTTCCTGTTTCCCCCTACTCCTCCCCCTCCCCCCCCTCCCCCTTCTTTCCCTTCTCCCCCTCTCCCCCACCTTCCCGTCCCTCCTCCCCGCTGCCTTATCCGCTTTTCCGTTTCCTCTGCGTTTGCTCAAGATTCCATTCCCTTTGTGGAGTTGACTTCTGAGAATTCTCAGAAGTTTCCTCTGCGTTTGCTCAAGATTCCATCCCATTGTGCTCCCCACACTCCCAACCTCCCCGCTCCCCCCTCTTTTTCCCCCCGTTTCCCTTTTCCATCCCCCCGCCCCTCCCCCGTCCCCCCCTCTCCCCCCTCCCTCCCCTCCGTTACCCCCCGCCCTCCTTCATTGTCAAAACCTAAACCCTGCTCCGCAGGGTCGCAGGTGCACCCCTCGGTGGCGGAGCATCCGCCGCATTCACCTGCGCCTGCTGGTGAGGAAAGTGGGGGGGATTACAGGGGAAACGAAAGGTAGGGCTTCTGATGGCAAGCATCCACGCATTCACCTGCGCCTGCTGCTGCTGCTGCTGACTGTCCACTTTCATTCCTTGCTTCCCATCTTCCCGCCTCCTCCTCTCCCCATGTCCCCAGGGTGCCCTTCCCCAGTGGCCTCTCGCATTGCCCAAGTGCTCTGCTTCCTCCCTCTCCCCCCTCCCCTCCCCCCCCGTTTCTCCCCACCTCTCGCCCCTTCTCTCCCCCCCATTTCCCCCCCATATTCTCTCAATGTCTCAGGGCATGCCCTTCCCCAGCGGCCTCTCCCGCCCGCTCTACCTGCTGCTGCTACCCATCAAGCTCATCGCTCAAGTCCTCTGCTTCCTCCCTCCCGCCCCTCCACTCCCCCTTCTTCTTCCCCCCTTCTCTCCCCGTCTCCCCAGGGCATGCCCTTCCCCAGCGGCCTCTCGCGCCCGCTCTACCTGCTGCTGCTGCCCATAAAGCTCATCGCCCAAGTGCTCTGCTTCCTCTGGGTGCTCTGCATCGCCACGCCTCCCCCCGATTTCTACCTTTCTCCAGGTGAGGGCCAGAGTGAGGTGCTCCGTGTCGTGCCTTCTTTCCCCTAAACCCCTTGTGCTTCGGTTCTGCCTTCTTCTAGCACTCTCGCTGCCCATCAAGCTCATCCTCCAAGTGCTCTGCTTCCTCTGGGTGCTCTGCATCGCCACGCCTCCCCCCGACATCTACCTTCTACAGGTGAGTGTTTAGTCGTCTCGTCTCCCCCCTCCCCCCGACTCCCGTCCCCCTTGCTTTTTCTTCCACTCCTTCTCTCCCCTCCCATCTTCCCCTCAAAACCCCCCCACCATTCCAACCCTCTCAGTGGTTCGTGTCGCTGGCTTAGTGCGCCCGAGCGTCGTTCGCCATTGACTGGCATGACTTGGGCTTCACACACGTTCCAAACCCCTCCTGACCCTTCTTTCCCCCCCTCCTCCCCTCCCCTGGCTGGGCCCCTTCCTTCCCCATCCCTCTTCACAAACCCCCCGCCGCCATCCCCACCCCACCATCCCCACCACTCCCTCCCTGCTCCACCCTTCTCCACTCCCCTTCTCCCCCTCCCCCCAAACCCCGTCCCCTGGCCTTTTTTCCCTACTCCTTCTCGCCTCTCCCCTCCCCCTTTCCCCATCCCTCAGAACCCCCCGACCATCCGCACCTTCACAGTGGTCCGGATCGCTGGGCTAGCGCTCAGAGCATGTTTTTTTGAGAATTCTCAAAAAACATGCGCTGCTCACAGCCTTGTTCGTGATCGACTGGCACCAACTTCGGCTTCACTTTCTTGGGACATCCCAAGCCCCTCCTCTGCCCTCTGTCCCCCTCCTCCCCGCCCCCTCCCTTTTCATCCCCACCTTCACAGTGGTGCGCTTCGCAGGGCTAGTGCGGCGGGCCTCATTCGTGATCGACTGACTTAACTTCCTCTTTTCTTCCTCCTCACCCTGCCGCCCACCCCTCCCACTCCCGAGCCTCCTTCGCATTAGACTGGCACAGCTTCGCCTTCACTCTCTTTGGACAACCCCACTCTTCTCCTCTTTTTACCCCCTCCTCCCCCGCCCTCCTCCCCCCCCCCCCCCCCCCCCCAACCCACTCCCCTCAGAACCCACCCACCATCCCCACCTTCACAGTGGTGCGCTTCGCTGGGCTAGTGCGGCGGGCCTCATTCGTCATCGACTGGCACAACTTCGGATTCACTCTCTTTGGCCTACGTTTCGGCCCCGCACACCCCCTCGTGAAGATCCACAAGTGGTGTGTGCTGAAGGTTTTCATAGGGGTGCAGTGTGGTTGAGGTCTCTCCCTGTGCACGGTGGTTTGGCTTCCTCGCACGCTGTAGCCTCGTTTGTCATTGACTGGCACATCTTTGCCTTCCCTCTCTTTGGCCTACGCTTTGGCCCCGCACACCCACTCGTGACGATCCACATATGGTGCGTTCTGAAGGGATTTTCTAGGGGCGCGTGCCTGTCTTGTTGCGTTGATGAGTGCGCTGCAGTATGCCATGCCTCTGGCTGCACTCCCTTTGGCCTCCTCTTCAGCCCCGCACACCCACTCGTGAAGATCCACAAGTAAAGCGCTTGTATGCGTTTGTTTGTGGTCGGGGGGGGGGAGGAAGGGAGGGAAAGGGGGATGGTTTGTGTGGGAAGGGGAGGTGGATGGGTGCTATCACTCTATTGGAATCACTTTTGAGAATTCTCAAAAGTGGTTTGTGTAAGAAGGGGAGGTGGATGGGTGCTATCACTCTTGACACAAACTCACTGTGAGTCTCAAGAGACACAAACACAACCTTGGCTCTACTCTTTGGCCTCCACTTTGGCCCCACACACCTCATCGTGAACAACCCTGCACACCCCCTCGTCAACGCCCCTCCACACCTCATCGTGAACAACCCTGCACACCCCCTCGTCAACGCCCCTCCACACCTCATCGTGAACAACCCTGCACACCCCCTCGTCAACGCCCCTCCACACCTCATCGTGAACAACCCTGCACACCCCCTCGTCAACGCCCCCTCCACACCTCATCGTGAACAACCCTGCACACCCCCTGCCCCGTGCCGCCTGCCCTCTGTCTTCCTCCCCATGCCTCTCATCCGCCCCCCCTCAAACCCCCAGGTACGAGACCACCATAGCACGCCAAGCAGCGGCACACATATGTGTGACTCGAGCCATGCACATACCATCGTCTGCCTCCTTGCGTCTGCCCCTTTCCTTCTGCCCCCGTGCATCTGTCCTTTTTTGCATTCGCCACCATGCTTGCTTCCCGCCAGGTACGAGACCACCATAGCACGCCAAGCAGCGGCACACATATGTGTGACTCGAGCCATGCAGCAGGAGCTGGCGAACAACTGGGATATACGGTGAGGTGGGGAGTGGTGAAGAGGGGTGACGTGTAAGGGGTTGCAGAGCAGTGTAAAGGGGTGCAGATGCGGAAACAACACCAAGAGTGAGTTTTTCCTGTGTTTCCTGTGCTGCTGCTGCGATGTTGTTATGTATGCCTGCCATGCCCCTCTGTTTTGCGTGCTTTACATGCTTCTTAGATCTCATCTGCTCCTTGGTGCTTTTCTGCTCTCCTTTCTTCTCTTCTCTCCATATGCCTCCCTACCCATGCGCCTTCAGAGCCACTGTTCTGTACGACCGCCCGCCTGCCTTCTTCCGACCCAGCACCTTAGAGGAGATGAGAGAGGTGTGCATGGGTTGGGAGAGGCCGGGGATAGGTTGGGAGAGGTGTGCATGGGTTGGGGGGGGTGCAGGATGTGTTGGGAGGGACGTGGGTGGGCGTGGGCAGGGAGAGGTGAGCATGCCACTCCCAAGCCATTCCCCCATTTCCCACTCCGCCAATCAAGCTTTTGACACTCTGCCTACAAACACACCGAATAAGAATACAAGTGTTCGCACGCTCTGTTTGCCCCACTCCCCCCTGTCTTTTGAGTTGACTCAAAGGTCATCTCTTTTCCCACTCTGCCTTCAAACACACCGAATCAGAGTGCAATCGTTTGCACACTCTCTTTGGCCCACTCCCCCTGTCCCATCTCCACGCCCCACACTGCTTCCCCTGCTCCCTTTTCCCCTTACCCCACTTCCCTCTTCTCACTCCCCTTTTCACACCCCCTCCCCACGCTCCCCTCCCTCCACTCCCCTCCCCCAACTCCCCTTCCCCCACTCCCCTCCCCCAACTCCCCTTCCCCCACTCCCCTCCCCCCACTCCCCTCCCCCCCACTCCCCTTACCCCCCCCCCCCCCCCCCCCCCCCCCGCTCTTTCCCCCCCGCTCCCCTGGTCCCAACAGGTTCTGGGGCGCATCGACCAATCACTGCTCGACAGCTGTTTCTCCCCACCCGCACCCGGTACGCACGTAGCTCCAAACTGTCTGTGCCATGTCTTCCCCACTCCACTTCCCCTGCCCCCATTCCCCCAGCCCCCTTCCACTAGGCTCCATGCCCCTAACCCTCTTCTGCCTCCCCCTCAATTCCGTTTGTTTGGAGTGCGTTCCACTTTCCCCTGCAATTTGGAGTGTTTTCAAAGCCTTTCCGATTACCATCCTCTGTGTGCTACCATTGGCATGGCATGCAAGTACTGAAATCACTCTTGAGAATTCTCAATAGTGATTCCTCTGTATGCTACCATTGGCACGGCATGCAAGTACTGAAATCACTCTTGAAAATTCTCAAAAGTGATTCCTCTGTATGCTACCATTGGCATGGCATGGAAGTCCCCTCCGCATGCCATCCCTTTTGAGGCGCCTCAAAAGTCACACTTTGAAGTGTTTTCAAAGCCTTTCCCATTACCATCCTCTGTATGTTACCATTGGAATGGAGTGACTCCTGTGCTACCATTGGCATGCGGGGGAATGGTATGGAAGTTCCCTCCGCATGCCCCCCCGCATCTCAGGTCTGCTTTCTCATCACCACACCTTGCCGCACCTCATTACACCTCACTGCACCTCACTCCACATCACTCTGTGCACCACACCATGTCAGAGCACACGCATCACACCGCGTTAAACCGCGTCTCACCATTTCTTATTGCATCGCACCGCGTCTCACCACATCAGGAACCACGCAGTGGACTCTCAGACCAGACCGCCCTGCCCTTGTTGTCAGCAGCTCTAGCTGGTGAGTGGCCGTTTCTGTCTCATGTTGATGTGCTGCTAGAGGCAGCTCTCATGTATGACAGGCGCGTGGCATGGCAGCGATGGCTAGAAAAGAAGTCTCCCACTCCTTCCAACTCCTTCCCACCGCACTATACACCCACTGCACGACTGCAGACGAGGATTTTGACATGTTGCTCGAAGCAGCGCTCATGTAGGACCGGCGTGCGGCAGGCAGCGATGGCAGGCAGCGATGGCAGGGGAGGGGGTTTTTGGAAGAGAGGAAGGAGGCGAGGGGGATTGGCTTCACAACCTTTTCACTCCTTTGAACCTGTCTCCACCTTCTCACACACTGCAGGACTGCAGACGAGGATTTTGACGTGTTGCTAGAAGGAGCGCTCATGTATGACAGGCGCGTGGCAGCAATGGCAGGCGAGGGGGAGTTTGGAGGAGAGGGAGGAGGCGAGGGGGAACGAGGTGCTGCTGTTGGCGTTCCTCTGCTGGATTCCAAAAAAGCCGATGGGATATCAGCGTTGGCAGTGGCAGCAGAAGCAGCAACAGCAGCAGCAGCAGCAGGGGCAGCAGGAGTGGGAGGAGATTCGTCTAGTGCAGGGTCAAGAAAAGAAGGGGAAGGAGAGGGCGAGCGGGGAGGGGCGGTGACGACAGGAGCAGCAGGAGTGGGAGCAAGTGGAGGGAGGTTGAAATCTGGAGCCAAGTTTCCCACCCTGGCGTTTATTGTCACGGGTGAGTTTGCTCGTCTAGGGGGAGGGGAGGGTTCTAGAAACGGAGCGGCAGGAGTGAGTGAGCGGGGAGGGGGGGGGATGATAGCAGCAGGATCAGGAGTGGGAGCAAGTGGAGGGAGGTTGAAATCTGGATCCAAGTTTCCCACCCTGGTGTTTATTGTCATGGGTGAGCACCTTTAGAGGCGACTTTCAGCACTCAAAAGTCTCCCACCCTGGCGTTTATTGTCACGGGTGAGCACTTTTCGAGGCAGAAAGCATGAGACGACTTTTGAGGCACCTCAGAAAGATATCTCCCACTTGGCGTTTATCGCTGAGAATTCATTGGTAGGAACTTTTTTTAATATCTTCTTAAGCACACCTTTCTTCAATCTCTCTTCCCCCTCTTTCGCCTCTTCCCCCTCTTCCCCCTCTTCCCCCTCTTCCCCCTCTTCCCCCTCTTCCCTCCCTTCTCTCTCTCCTCCCTCTTCCCGCTGTTAGGCAAAGGAGCCCTCCGATCGCACTACGAAGCAAAGATGCGACGGCTCAGATTGCGCCACGTGTCGTTCCGAACCGCATGGCTTGCTCCGGAGGATTACCCGAGGCTGCTAGGCTCGGCGGACCTGGGCGTGTCCCTCCATACCTCGTCCTCAGGCTTGGATCTGCCTATGAAAGTGGTGGACATGTTTGGGTGCGGCCTTCCCGTCTGCGCCATCTCCTATTCCTGGTGAGTGCTGGGCGGAAGAATGTTACAACACACAACCCCTCGGGCCTGGATTAGCTCAGGCTTGGATCTGCCTTTGAGAGTGGTGGACATGTTTAGGTGCGGCCTTCCTATGCGCCATCTCCTATTCCTGGTAAGGCATTTCTGGTGACTCTTTCCTGATAAGGCCCTGTTAGAAGGCTTGGTCTCCCCAGGCTTTGATTGAAAGTGGTTGATGTGTTTGGCTGCGGCCTTCCCGTGTGCGCCATCTCCTATTCCTGGTGAGTGCTTGTGACGATTTCCTATGTGAAATTCCCACGACAACTCACAACAACTCTCAGCCCTGGATGTGGCCCGAAATTGATGTGAATATGTTCAGGTGCGGTCGTGTGTAGTGAGTCGTGTTTTGAGTCGACTCAAAACACGACAACTCACAACAACTCTCAGCACTGGATGTGCCCTGAAATAAATGAAATTGGTGAATATGTTCAGGTGCAGCCTTCCCGTGTGCACCATCTCCTATTCCTGGTACGAACATTTCAAGGGCTGAACATTCCAAGGGCTGAACATTTCAAGGGCTGAACATTCCAAGGGTTGAACATTTCAAGGCTGAACATTTCCAAGGGCTGAACATTCCAAGGGCTGAACATTCCAAGGGCTGAACATTCCAAGGGCTGAACATTCCAAGGGCTGAACATTTCAAGTGCTGAACATTTCAAGGGCTGAACATTCCAAGGGCTGAACATTTCAAGGGCTGAACATTCCAAGGGCTGAACATTCCAAGGGTTGAACATTTCAAGGGCTGAACATTCCAAGGGCTGAACATTTCAAGGGCTGAACATTCCAAGGGCTGAACATTCCAAGGGTTGAACATTTCAAGGGCTGAACATTCCAAGGGCTGAAAATTTCAAAGGCTGAACATTCCAAGGGTTGAACATTTCAAGGGCTGAACATTCCAAGGGCTGAACATTTCAAGGGCTGAACATTCCAAGGGCTGAACATTCCAAGGGTTGAACATTTCAAGGGCTGAACATTCCAAGGGCTGAACATTCCAAGGGCTGAACATTCCAAGGGCTGAACATTCCAAGGGCTGAACATTCCAAGGGCTGAACATTCCAAGGGTTGAACATTCCAAGGGCTGAACATTCCAAGGGCTGAACATTCCAAGGGTTGAACATTCCAAGGGTTGAACATTCCAAGGGTTGAACATTCCAAGGGTTGAACATTCCAAGGGTTGAACATTCCAAGTGTTGAACATTCCAAGTGTTGAACATTCCAAGTGTTGAACATTCCAAGTGTTGAACATTCCAAGTGTTGAACATTCCAAGTGTTGAACATTCCAAGGGTTGAACATTCCAAGTGTTGAACATTCCAAGTGTTGAACATTCCAAGTGTTGAACATTCCAAGTGTTGAACATTCCAAGTGTTGAACATTCCAAGTGTTGAACATTCCAAGGGCCGAACATCCCGTATTCCCGCTCCTCCCCTCCCCTCCACAGTTTCCGCTTGCCTGTAGCATCCACGAACATCCAAGGCTTGCCTGTAGCATCCACGAACATCCAAGGCTTGCCTGTAGCATCCACGAACATCCAAGGCTTGCCTGTAGCATCCACGAACATCCAAGGCTTGCCTGTAGCATCCACGAACATCCAAGGCTTGCCTGTAGCATCCACGAACATCCAAGGCTTGCCTGTAGCATCCACGAACATCCAAGGCTTGCCTGTAGCATCCACGAACATCCAAGGCTTGCCTGTAGCATCCACGAACATCCAAGGCTTGCCTGTAGCATCCACGAACATCCAAGGCTTGCCTGTAGCATCCACGAACATCCAAGGCTTGCCTGTAGCATCCACGAACATCCAAGGCTTGCCTGTAGCATCCACGAACATCCAAGGCTTGCCTGTAGCATCCACGAACATCCAAGGCTTGCCTGTAGCATCCACGAACATCCATCGCCTTTATCCCCCCCTCCCCCTCCCCCTCCCATCCACCACCTTAATGTTTTGTTTTCCCACCTGTAGCATCCACGAGCTAGTCAAGGGCAGCACCAACGGCCTCCTCTTCTCAGACTCTCTGTCCACCTTTTTCTATCCCCCTCCTTTTCCATTCCCTTATACTTCCCCCCTCACGGTGTTTTTTCTTTCTGTCCAATCAGCATCCACGAGCTAGTCAAGGGCGGCACCAACGGCCTCCTCTTCTCAGACTCCTCAGCGCTCGCCTTCCCCATCCTCTTTGTCATATCCATCTCCTTTTCCCCTATGTCTGTCCAACCAGCATCAACGAGCTAGTTAACGACGGCACCAACGGCTTCTTCTCAGACTCTCCCATCCCTCCCTCTCCCCCACTCCCTCCCCTCCCCTCCCCGCCTTCCCGCCTCCACCCTCAGCATTCACGAGCTAGTAAAGGACGGCACCAACGGCCTTCTCTTCTCAGACTCCTCAGAGCTCGCCTCGCAACTTATTGACATCTTCTGCGGCTTTCCAGAAGGTTCTGCCGCTCTCAAGGCCCACTCCCCTGCCACTACCACCACCTATTCCTCCACCTTGGCTTCCTCTTCCTCCTCGGGTGCCTTATCCACACCTCCCATGTCACCCACATCTCCTTCATCCACTCCCTCCTCCGTTACTCTGCTTCAGAAGCTAAGGTCAGGTGCACTTGCAACAGGGGCTGCTGGTAAATGGGCCGATGAATGGGGCGTGAATGTGCTTCCCTTGGTGGAGAGATTATCCGGGGGTGATTTAAGAGGTGTAATGAGGTGACTGGGTGTAAATTTGTGATATTGTGGGCTGATATCATGTGGATGAAATATTTCAGCTGGTCTGTGGATGCAAATGGTTAGGTTGTATTCTTACACTTTCTTACTGATTCTGGTGTAATTGAATTTTTTTATTTTATATCTTGTTCTTACATGTATGCGCTATTCTAAATATGACAACACCTTGGAGTTGTCACACCCCTAAAAGCACGGGAATTCTCGTTGCCAGCTCAGCAGAATCATATGTCGGATCAACGGCAGAGAGAGGGGGAGGTGTGAGTGGGACGGTTGGTTTGGTTTGGGGTTGCTGCTTGCCCTACGGATCAGCTTGGCGCGGGAAGGACCATTATCTGAGTTTCGAGTTCGGCAGGGAATGACAGGGTGGGGTTCCGATACGGGCAGCTACTGTATAATGAAACTGGATCTGCTCTACGTGTACGTTCATGGAAACATGGGCTTTTTGGAGATGAAGGGTCCCAAACTCCTCACCACCACTCAAATTTCTTCGGCAAACGGAAAGTATGACATGACATGATCACGCCAATCATCAAGGACCTTCCAGTGCTGGAAATGGACGAAAGCGTCGAAGCCAAACCGAGCACCGTCCTTGGCAGTTGCTATTTGCAGTTTCCACCGTGAACAAGGAAAAAGAATGGCATTTGCTAGATTGTAATTTTAGGACGTGTAATGGTTCGCCTCTGATCGGCTATGATCTGGTCGGGGCTGATCAGGTCGGGGCGCCCCTGCTTACTGTGCGACGCCGCCCGATCAGACAAGAAATTCGTCGAGTATTCCAGGTGTTTGCCTGGCATGCGTGTCACCCTTTCCTTCCAACTTCGTGCCCACTTTGGCGAGGGCGAAGACCTCAGCCTGGAACTAGCGAAGTTCAATGTTTCCCTGTAATTTCGCATCAAGAGGCGTCCAGAAAGTTCTTGCCAGGGTATTGGTTGTGCGAGGGCTTCACGAAGCCCTCCACAACTCTGTAACTGTTCGATGGCGTCGCTAGGTACCCCAACCCAATACAATCAACTGATTGTCGGTGATTGTGTGGGGTTGTGTTTGAATCGGCTGTTGTAGGCGGTTGATCGACTTGGGGCGATCAGCTGATCGCGATCAGGTGATTGTCCCCGATTGCCCGAAATCGCTGCCCTAGCTTCCTGGAAGTGATTGATCGACTCTGATCGGGGCGATCAGAAGCAAACCGTAACACATCCTTAGTGCCACCCCTCCTCAAGAAATCAACAATTACTGTTTTTCTTGCATGGGAATCTTGAAATGATGCACCACTGCCTGATGCTGCCTGTATTGCTTCCGCGTCTCGGAAAGGCGGTGTCATAAACAGTAAAACCAGGAACTCTATGGTACATCTCATACTCAAACCCTTTGTACAAGGTGTACTCTGGAGGATTGCTGATGATAGAAGTTGGTGTGAAAATGGCGGCCCTGGAAATTTTTTCAAGAAGCTTTTTGCTCTGTTCTTACTCCGGGCTAGTGAGGCTGATAATTTATTCTGACCCTGAAAAGTGTAGTTTTGTTACAGTTCTAGGAGACAAGACAAGACAAGAATCTCCACAAGGCCCTGCTTGACAGGCAAGACAAGGTCCCAACCAAATTGATTTCAAGGTCCTGGTTTCGAAATGACGCGGTTTTTGCCAGAAAAGGTCAACAACGTGACTTGCAGATCTAGCCATCTCCAGCGAGTCCACCTGGCCATGGATGGCATGGCATGGCATGTGGCAAGGTGAAAGGGACCCATCCCCATTCCTTCTCTCTGCTCACCATTTCTTTCCACCTCACGACGACTGGTGCTGCCCTACCCTTTCTCCCCAATTCCCAATTTACAGGTAACATTGGGCCCACAGATACTGTTTCGTGCAAACAAACACAATCGGAACTTGGAATGGAATGCCAGCTCGAAAACAAACGAACATAACGGGTAGGGAATCTAATCGCCTAGTTTACAGCTTGCATCTTCTTTTCCAGCGTGTTTTCTCTGCGCGTGTCTGCGTGCTCGCGAGTTTACCCAGTTGCTACTCATCGCCTCAACTCGCCTCGCCTCTCCTCTTCCCCTCCCCTCAACTGTTTTTACAGCCCAATGAAATATCAGCCTGCCGTAATTGTTCCTTTCCGTTCCGTTCCACTTGGGATACCGATCATACACAAGTCCCACTGCCAGTGCAAATCCCATGTGCTCTGAATCCTGTCTGTCCCCTGACACTGACCTCGGTCCCACTGCCCACTTCACCACTGGTCCTATCATTTCCATTTACGCATCCTGTCTCCTTTTCACGTCGGTCTGTGGAAACCTCACGACGGACAAAGATCAAGGAAGCGAGACTCCGTTGCTTCTTCTTTTGTCGAGGAGAATTGGCTCAGACATAGTTGCACCATTGGCGCTCCTGATATTGCAATGGAAGCGGACCTTATTGCAGCCAAGTTCGAAATGGACGAGCTTTACTCCAAAATTACGTCGTCCATGCCTCCTCCAAGCTCCTCGGGCAACGCTACCTGCGATCCCCGTGTCACTGAAGCCGGCAAGCCCAACCTGGGCAGACGGCTCGCCGTCCGTCTTCTTGTCGGTGGCGACGTCGAATCAAATCCCAAAACCCTCGCCGCCGCAGCCGCCGTAAATGCCGCCGCAAAAGGCAAGGCGCTAGCTCCCGATATCGACATACTCGCCAATGTCAAGCGCGTTACTAGACCTCCCGTTGGTAGCTCCCGCCTATCTTTGGTCACGTGCGCGCCGGCACCCGCGGATCATTCACCCGGGGAGTCCTCCGCAGGTCCCAGCAAGCCTGCATCCGCGGCGGAAGCTGCGCAAGGCTCGCGGAGCAACAGGTCTGCGCAACACGCTGTTGTCGCGCGGAAGCCGCGCGCCGCCAGGCCTTCCGCGAGCAGCATTTTCCGCGCCTCCAGCGTCTTGTGCGAACGACAAGCAGCCATTGCCATGTCCCTGGAACCCACCAGCAGCATCGACAGCAACAGCAGCACCGCGTGCGAAAAGCCGTCGCAGGACGACCCGATGGACGAATTTTTCGCGATAATGGAGCAATTCGTGGAGGAGCCTGTTGAAATGGAGTATCTCCGAGCCGCGGAGGCCGCCAGGCGGAACCGGAAGGGCCCGAGCGACGCAACCGGCGCAAGCGGCGCAAAGGGTGGCAAGCCGCAGGTCACTCGCCAAAAGTCACAAAGTAAAGAGTTCGCCCGCCAGCCTTCCTTTCAGGAATCGCCCGTCGCCGCCTCACCCGCGCAAGCCCCTGTCACGCAGAGTCGCCATCATCAACGCCAGAAGAGCTTCGCTGGTGTTTTCCCGAATACCTTCAACGATCAGACAACAAGCGCTACCGGCCACGGTACTGGTTCGAGTCACTCGGGCTCGTTCGAGTTGAACCCTGCGTTACAGTCACATCACCGCTCGGCGTCAATCTCGCAGAATCATCACCACGCGCGCCGGCCCAGCCACGTAGGAGACATGCTCGAATCGTCCCCCTCCGTATCCATGCGCGAAACCTCGGTAGCGGCAACACCCAGTGGTAACCGCCGGTTGTCGCACCCTTCAGTGCCTCGCGAACGCTCCCGTTCGTTCTGCGACCGGGTCACCCAAGTGGAGCCGGCCGACGAAGCGCGGCTGGCGGGAGCGAATGGAGCTGCTGCGGGTATTGCGGCTTCGGCGAGTGCCAGCATCGGCCGCTCCGCAGCAGTTTCTTTCGCGCGGTCAAATTCGTTTTCCATGGCCGCCCGTGCCGTTTCCTCTACTTCGCGGGACCCACGGGAACAGCAGGAGCAGCGCGAGCAACAAAGGGAGACCGAAGTTTTCGAGGCGTCGCAGCAGCGGGAGCTCGAGTCGCTCATCGACGCGCTCAAGGCGGAGATTTGCGCCAAGGACCAGCTTCTGGGAGCGTCGGAAGGCGAGCGGAAATTGTTGGAGGAGGAGCTTCGCAGCGCGTGGGATCACGTGGCGGATTTGGAGCGCCAGCTGGAGGGCATGCAGGCAGCAGGCGCAGCGATGGAGCGGGAGATCGATTCCCTCCGCGCGCAGGCGAACAAACGCTCTCCGCGGCGTGGCGGAAGCGAAGGGGACATGGCGGTGGGGAATCATATTTTGGAGATGGAGCGGGCTTTGGGGGAGCTCACGCGCAAGCTTGCGGCGACGGAGAGTGCGCTTCAGCGGTCTGAGGCGCAAAACTCAGAACTGTCCGGCAAAGTAGCTGTGCGGGAGGACGAGCTTGGGCGGACAAAATCCGCACTGCAGCAGGCTGAGCTGGAAAGGGATTCGCTCGCCGACGAAATGGAGGCTGCACTTGCGAGCTGGGCGGCAGACAGTCCCCGAATTTCCCCTTCCAGTGCAGATCCCTCTGCAGCAGCTGGCGAAATCCAAAAGCAGGAAGCTGCGAAACTCGCGAATGCCCTCCAGGCAGCTCAGCGAGAGCTTCAAGTCGTGCAGGCGGAGCGAAATTCGCTTCTCTTGGCTGTTGGGCAGCCCAGGCGACAGGGGCCGCGACCTTCCACGAGTAACCAGTGCAATGGCGGGAGTCGCAATCGCTCGCTCACCCCTCCCCCAAATCACTCCCGTGCGACTTCTTTCTCCGCGTCTAGTCGTAGCGGGCCCATGGAACTCCAGCGAAACTTCGGCATGGAGACATCACCGCCTCCTGCGGGACAGCAGAAGGGTCGCCATGCGCACTTCTCACCCCGCACTGCGGACGTGAAAGTCTCTGCCAATTAGGGTGCCGTACTAAGGGCATCATATGTCTTCTAGTTTATCTCGCCCCACTTGGCACTCCTTCTGGGGAGCCACCATGGTTTTTCATGTATGGGCGACAATTGTGTAGGCTTGATCCGTTCTATGCTACAAGCTCCTACCCACTATCTTGGCCTAGACGACCGATAAAGGCCTGCCTGCCAGCAAAATTTCCTTGGCTTGTTGTGACATGCACGTCTTTAACCTATTTCAGTTTAACAACCTTATTTTCGAAACTATCCGCTTACTGCATTCAGCTTTCGATTTGAAGACTCTGGCGGAAATGTTGTAGATGTGACATGATCAATTTGAGGAAATGTTGAAGACTTTTTAAATTGCAGATTGCAGCCCTAAATAGCACGTTCAAAATAACTAGAGGAAATTTATTCAAATGTCATTACGGTACGTGATACCACGCAACATATTAATGGAATTTACAGGTAGTGTCACACACAAGCAGTGGCCACTGCCATGAGGATGTCCCAGAGGCTACTAAGAATCTAAGACACAGCACAGCTCGCAAATGCGGGGACAGCCGGCAATGGCAACCGATCTGTAAGCACAACACCAAGCATGTCTGACAATGTCAGCCTCACTACAAGCCAACAGAAGCGAGCAGCGCCGCAAACGTCGCGCACCGACGACAAACTCCAAGAGTACGGCTCCTGGGAAAAGATGTACAGTACCGAGTCACGAACGCCGAAATGTGCGTCACCGAAGAGCTCGAGATTTAGGGAGAAGACACTTAGCAGGGCGCGGAGGAGGCGAGGGGGAGACGTGAAGCGATAGGCTCCGCGAAGTGGACACGAGGGTTGGAATCGACAGTCTGGCGGATGGCTTTGTAGTTGAACTGTGCCGCCTGCTGTTGCTGCTGGCTTGAGGGTACGGACAAAGCTGACGAGGATTTTCGTAGGGAGCGGCCAGCTGGGCTGTTCACATTCACCCGCCCGCTGGGACGCACCGCAGCCATAAGCGCGTCTCTCTCGCCCCGCACCACGCGAAGCTCCCTCTGCACACCGTCGAGAGCCATCGCGAGTTGCTGAACCTCGTCTTGGGAACTGGAGTTTGATGACGTGGACGTCGAATGCGAGAAGGTTCCAGACGAAATCCCGCTGGCAGGAGTTGCGGGGCTGTCAACCGCCCAGCTTGCAAGTGCCGCCTCCATTTCCTCCGCGAGCGAATCCCTTTCTTGCGCCGCCTGCTGAAGTGCGATCTTTGTCATCTCGAGCTCCTTCTCACATGCTGCCATTTTTTTCCGCCAATTCCACGTTGCGCGACTCCGTGGCAGCTAGCCTCCGCGACAGGTCAGTGGGCGACGTCGTCAACACACGCTTCGCGGATCGCAGAACTTCGTTCTCATGCTGCAACTTCAAGACGAGCGCCTCTGAGTCGTTCAACTGTCGCTGAAGCTCGTCGGTGCTGTTCCACGCGTGCTTCAACTCTTCCTGCAGCATCTGTTGCTCTTTCTCCGAAGCTTCGAGAAGCTTGTCCTTCGCCTTGATTTCCGCCTTCAGCGCGTCAACCAATGATTGCATCTCGTGCCCCTCTTTGACAGAGCTGGCACGCTGAATCGGCTGAACCTTAACAGCTGGCGACGCGGCAGGATTCCAAAGCGAGTTTAGATCCTTCAAGCAGCCCACGCCACCCACCGAGTGCGTCCTCGCGTGCGCCGGATGAACACGGCTCTTCTCGGAATCGCGGCTCGCCGCCCTCGGTAATTGCGTCTTCTGCACCACTTTCGGGCTGGCCGGAGCGAGAGACATCGGGCCGCTGTGAATCTGCTTCTCCATCTTGGACCAGCCGAGATCGGCCGGAAAACCGTCCGAGCTAATACCCCCCATCTGAGGTTTCTGCATGCGGCCGGGCCTGTTCGCGCGGGAAACCTCCGCCAGCCTCACGCATTCCATCTCCTCGGGCTCGTCGACAAACTGCTCCATAATAGCGAAAAACTCCTCCATCGGGTCTCCCGCAGGGGCTTTAGGTAGCGCTTTCTTTACCACCTTCTTCTTTGGCGCGCCGTTAGGCTTCTTTTGAGGAGGCGCCTGCCCTGGGGTTCTAGGTGAAACGCGGCCGTTGTTCACGGGAGGCTTGCCCCGTTTCATCTCCCCCATTCCTGCCATAGGGAAAGGGGCGGGGGTTCCGTTGTTCGAGTCCATGTCTCCGACCAGAAGTCGCATAGCCATGCGACGACTGGCTTTCGAGTTTTCGGCGTCGGAAGGCGGGAGGGCAGAAGAAATCTTAGAGTGAAGCTCGTCGAGTTCAAAACGAGCAGCTGTTAGATCAGCTTCCATTTCTAGTCAGCTTCGAAACAAGTACGCTCGAAGGAAACAGATTTGGATCTCAGAGCACGGATTGACCATACGTTGCTTGAGCTTCCGAGCGACAGCAAAAACCCTAAGCGGAGGACGGGTTTCAAGCTCAGGGAAGAGTCCTGTAATTGCGGAGGGAGGGAAAATCTGGAAATCACAGTTGGGATGGGAAGTTGTGGTAGAGAATCTCACAAGATGTTGTTCAAAGAGTTGGCTCAAGTTCATACACGTTTTCAGCTGTCAACTTCCACCACCCACGTCGGCACGAAGCTTTGCCCGCACAGCAGGGTTGGGTTCTTCCCTTGCAGCCCGCGGCAAGTTCATGAAACGAGCCGGCTATCCCTGAGGCGCCACGATGGCAAAGACTGCAAATCAACGAACCAGAAATTACGGAAGGACACGGTTTCGTTGTGACTATGGTAAGGGATCTACGCCACATTGGCTGGACTTATTACAGCTTCCGCACCGTCAACTGGTGAGTGGAACGAAATGGTCGTTGTGACTGTTCGCCGATGCCAGCTCAGGTGCATTGCTGCCACAACTGTGCATCGTGGTGAAGTCGATTGCGTTCAGGCTGTGTAGTTTTCATGGTCTGCCCGTGCTTGTGTGTGTACAATTCTATTGCTGCTGCGCTGGACGAATTGGCAACTCCGTAGAATTTCTTTTCATTGTCAGGCGTACAGCAGAGCTCAGTTGGCAGATTTATGCTTCCATGAATTGAATCGGGGCAGAGCTGTATGTGTCGTGACATGGTATGGAATTCACGAAATGCAATGCGGTGGCATACAAATTTGGCCCTTTTCTGCATTTGCAGGGTTTGGAAACGACAATCGATGATAACCAAGACAAATGCGCCTCATCCGTATTGGCTGAAAAGAAGGTGACAGCAATGCTTGCTGCTCCACACATCGAATCATGCAGCTGGTGCAGCAGCATCTATCGAAACAATCTGCTGTTTCCAGCGAGTTTCGGCACTTGAAGGGTCAGCCAGTGCTCTGTTTGGCTATGAAAATTATGCTAGCAGCTGATTGGTGCAAGAATATGAAGCTGGGAACGATGGCGGTGCCGCGTAAAGTCGTGTGAAGTTACGGCCCTGTCCTGGAAACTCATTTCAAACAGCAATCCGTTAAACAGCTCAATGTATCTAGAAACTACTTTGTTAAAATATATTGCCACCTTGATCTGCTGGAAGCACCAACATACTCAAATAACCGTACATTCCCCTCATTAACGCATTTATGAGCACAAACTGACATCGCACTTGTCTGTTATCCCAACATCTTGCTGTGGCCCTTGGTCGCATCCAACGATGCTTGGCTTCACCCAGGTCAAAGTGTGACCCTCCACAGCAGTGTTGTGCCCATCGTATAGTCTCAGCATTATGCCACCAATCAAGAGACATTGGCAGCTATTAATCTGACATAAAGAAGCAGCATAATTAGCGCATCTGTGAAATTCATGTAGAATGCCAGCCAGCGGATCATCCGTACTCTAGAAGAACATGTACATTTTAAATTGCTACCTACGAACCACAACAACTCCTAATGCAAACGGGCACAAAGTCGCTTGCATTGCGCTCCGATCCATCCTAGGAACAACCCTGGCAATACGAAAGGCGCAAGGAACAGAACACTAGAAATGAAAAACATGCAACAGCTCCTACTTGATCGTGGATCAATAAATCCACTGTAGATCAACGGGTGAGTCCGTTCAGACTCATGGAGGCGCCCGCCTGCTGGTCTGCACCTCCTGTACCAGAAACATCTGCACTCCTCACCACCGATCCCGCTTTCGCAAAGCTAGAGACGCGTTAATGTCTTCGAGATCTGCGAACATAGATGTTGTGAGCATGGGATCCTCTTGTTCCAAGCCAGTTGCTGCCTTGTCAATCCTGCTGGGCTTAACGCCTCACTGCTGCCCCTGTTTTTGCAGAGTTGATATCCCGAGCTAGAGACGCATTGATATCTTTCAGATCTGCAAACATGGATGTTGTAAGCATGGGGTCTTCATTCCGTGCCAACTGCTGTCTCGTCAATCCTGCCGGTCCCAACGCCTGCTGCTGCTGCTGCTGCTGCTGCTGCTGCTGCTGCTGTTGCTGCTGCTGTGGCTGCTGCTGCTGAAAGCCATGCTGCATGCCCCCACTGCTACCGCCGAGGCTCATCACCGAACCAGCTGCAGGAGGCTTGGTAGGAGAGAGCGATGGGTATGAATTCCCCATGCCCATCCCCATACCTGCTCCCATGCCCATCCCTGCTCCCATGCCCATTCCCGTACCCGCCCCCATTGGCCCGACATAGGGCACGGGCCGATTGGAGACAGCAGGAGATGGGAGGGCGAGAGGGGAGAAATTTTGATTAGGGCCAAGAGGAGGGTAGGATGGCGTAGCGTTGGGAAACGGAGGAGGGGGAGTGTCTCCACTCACTCCGCCCATTCCTCCCCCCATCATGTACTGCTGCTGAAGCTGCTGCTGCTGTTGCTGCTGGTACTGCTGACTTTGTTGGTACATCTGATTCTGCTGCTGCTGCCACTGGGGTTGCTGGTAATTCTGGTAACCCTGTTGGTGTTGCTGGCCTGGCATTTGGGGATAAATGGGAGGCGGATAATGTTGCTGCTGCGGCTGCTGCTGCTGCTGCTGCTGCTGCTGCTGCTGCTGCTGCTGCTGCTGCTGCTGCTGCTGCTGCTGCTGCTGCTGCTGCTGCTGCTGCTGCTGCTGCTGCTGCTGCTGCTGCTGCTGCTGCTGCTGCTGCTGCTGCTGCTGCTGCTGCTGCTGCTGCTGCTGCTGCTGCTGCTGCTGCTGCTGCTGCTGCTGCTGCTGCTGCTGCTGCTGCTGCTGCTGCTGCTGCTGCTGCTGCTGCTGCTGCTGCTGCTGCTGCTGCTGTTGTGTGAGTTGCTGCTGCCAGGATTGCTGATTCGGGTCATAATGGGTTGGGTACATCTGACCAGGATGGGATGACTGGTAGCTCGGGGCAGTAGAGGGAGGATGAGAAGCAGAAGCGGGGAACCCAGATGAGCCTGCACCAGTAAAACCTCGCCCGCCAGCACCTAAACCGGCAGCACCAGAGCCGGAACCACCAAAGGGGTCAGTGGGTGAGTGAGAAGGAAGGGAATTGGAGAGGCGGGGCGGGGCAGATCCGGGGGCAGAGCCAAACCCAGAGCCTAGCGCAGCAGCAGGAGTGGAGGAGGTGGAAGGGGGCTGTGACTGTAACGTGGTGTGAGTGTATGGAGACGGGTAGGTCTGGGGAGAAGGGAGGTGTGTGGATTGGGGATTGTATGGAGATGGAGCAGGGGAAGGGGCGGTAGAGGAGTGGCCTGAATTTGGAAGGGCTTGAAAGGAAGGCTCGGAATCGAATGGGGAAGGCTCGGTGGTGAAAGAGGGAGGAACGGGTCCAAAGGGGTTGGGTGCAGTGCCTGAAGGTGCAGTGGGAGCAGCAGCATCCGAAGCAGCGTTCGCAGCACTAGCAGCAGCAGCGGAAGGACTAGAGCCAAAGTCTAATGCACGAGCCGCTGCTGGTGGTAGTGCTGACTCTGCTCCTGCGGAAACAGATGCTCCTGCTCCTCCCCCTTGTCCTTCTCCTCCAGCTGTGGCTGCTTGCACGCCTGGCGCAAACGGATTGGACGGCGACAGCTCAGCAAGAAGCATATCAGTGGCTGAGCGATAAACAGGAGCAGCGGGAGCAGCAGGAATGGCAGCAGCAGCCGAACCTGTTCCCCAGGCTTGGGCAGGGAAGGGAGACACGTCCCGGGAGGCAGGTTCGGAATGTGTGTGGGGATGTGCGTTGGGTGAGGGTTGGGCGAGGTTCAAGTGAGACATGTGGGCGGTCATGGCTGGCAGATCAGGGGCTGAGCCGTATGGTGGAAGCGAATAGGGGGGTGCTGCTCCTGCCCCTGCTGCTGCTCCTCCTGCTGCTCCCCCTTCTCCTCCTGCTGCTGCTCCTGATGCTGCAGATTCTCCTGCTGACCCAGTGTCAGCACCAACAGAACCACCAGCACCACTAGCAGAAGAACCAGCAGAAGAAGCAGGGGCAGTGGGGGCAGAGGGGGCATGAGGCGTGGAGGAGCGTTTCCAGTCAGGGGGAAGGGGGAGCAGGGGGGAGGCGGGGGGGGCGCTCGGGGAGAAGGTGGGGGAAGCTGAGGGGCGGATGGAGAAGGCAGATGGCGCACTGTAGGGTGGGGGGGGGGAGCAGAAGCAGGGCGGGAGAAACGGGGGGAAAATGGGGAGAATGTGGGGGGTGCGATAAATGCGGAGGGGCAAGGGGGAACGAGTATGAGGGTGTGGGGGAACGAGTAGGAGGGTGTGGGGGAAGCTGAGGGGCGGATGGGGAAGGAAGATGGCGCACTGCAGGTGGGTGGGGGAGGGGGGAGAAGGGACGGGGCAAGGTTGGGGGAGAAGTTGGATGGGAGTTGTGAATGAGGGGAGCGAAGGAGAAAAGGAGTATGATGGAGTGGGGGAAACGGGGGCGGATGGAGAAGGAAGACGGGGGAGGAGATGGTGCATTGTAGATGGGGAAACCTATTAACGAGGCGCCTCATTTTACGTGCTTATAATAAAGAGGAGAGAGAATGGAGAAAGAAGAAGGGGGGGGAGATGGTACACCATGGATGGGGGGAAGGAGGGGCAGAGGAAGGGGGCACGGAATGGAAGGGGAGAGGGAAACAAGAAACGAGTAGAGAAAGGGGAGGTCGAGAAGGAAAAGGCGAAAGATAGAAGAAGAAGACTTACCCGCACCTGTCTATTGAGCTGAATGATGTGTCTTTGGGCTGACTAGAAAAGAGTAAGCTCGAAAAACGCGAAGGCCTGAACAAAGGGAGGTGTCTGTAGCGGACAGGTGAAAGGTAAAAGAAGAAGACTCACCCTCGCCTGTCTGCGACTTTAAGGCGCCCTCAAAAGGCGAAGGCCCGAACAAAGGGAGGTGACTGTAGCGGACAGGTGGGTTGCGGTGCAGAGGAGAAGGAAGAAGAAGACTCACCCGCGCCTGTCGAGCTGAATGGTCGGCTCGCTGTCAGTGTCTCCCTCCCCATCGTACTGCGCCCACTGCACTCCCCCTGCTGCTGCTGCTGCCCCTGCTGCTGCAGCCGAGCCAGGAGCAGATGCACCACCACCACCAGCACTAGCAGCGGCAGGAGAGGATTTCTGCAGCTGGCTGTGGCGCTTCATGACTGCCTGCACCTCGTCGTTGAGAGCCAGGGCAGAACGGAGCAGGTGCTCGTCACTGGGAAAGCAGGGGATAGGGCAGGGGGGATGGTTGTGGGAGGAGAGATGTGAATGCCCAGGATGCCTCTTCATGACTGCCTGCACCTCGTCGTTGAGAACGACGGCGAAGCGCAGCAGATGCTCGTCACCGGGGGAGCAGGAAAAGGGGGAAGGCGAAGGCATGCACAGTGGGCAGTGGGTAATATGAGTGAAGAGGCATGGTAATGAAATGGCATTTCATGACCGCTTCATGACCGCTTGCACCTCGTCGTTGAGAGCCGGGGCGGAGCAGGGCAGGTGTGCTTGTTACCATGGGAAAAGGGGAAAGGGGAACTGGGCTTGCTCAGAAGTGGAAAGTGCCCCGCCCCGGCTCAGAAGGTGAGTTGGTGACTTTCGACAGTGGTGTGACTTGCTTGTTACCATGGGAAAAGGGGAAATGGGCTTGCTCAGAAGTCGGGGCACAGGATGGGCGTGGGGTGGGCGTGGGGAGGGCGTGGGGAGGGCGTAGGATAAGTGTGGGATGGGTGTTGGACGGGTGTGGGGAGGGCGTGGGGGGGGGCGTAGGATAAGTGTGGGATGGGTGTTGGACGGGTGTGGGGAGGGCGTGGGGGGGGCGTAGGATAAGTGTGGGATGGGTGTTGGATGGGTGTGAGATGGGTGGGGGATGAGATTCATCTGCTCAAACCCACCTCGTTGAATTGATGGTTGCTGCTAGGCGCCCCTCCAGCTGCTGCACCAACTCGTCCCCCAACACAGGGGCAAGCTTGTCGTTCACTTCTTGTTTCAAGACACGTCAAGAAGACTACGCACAGAGCCAGGGTTCGCCTTCACACACCACTGACGAAAGCTTTTGAGTCGACTCAAAAGGGTTTGCCTTCACACACCACTGGCGAAAGCTTTTGAGTCGACTCAAAAGGGTTCGCCTTCACACACCACTGACGAAAGTCACCAACTCACCTGGTGGAGTTGATCGTGGCTGCTAGACGCCCCTCTAGCCCCCGGCACTCCCCCACCAGCTGCTGCACCAACTCGTCCCCCAACACAGAGCCAGGGTTGTCCTTGGGTGCGGCTGAGAGCAGGTCAGATAACACCTCCACCGAGTTCAACCCCGTGGTGATGTCTGCCAGACTGGAGAGAGTGGGAGGGAATGGGCACCAAGCATAAACAGAGTGGGTTAAGAGATCGGCACAGAGGAACGGTTGTCCTTGGATGGGAGCGGCTGAGAGCAGGTCGGATAGCACCTCTACGGAGTTCAACCCCATGGTGATGTCTGTGCGGCTGGTTATGCGGAGTGGGGATGAGATGAGGGCGTGGTTAAGGGACAGGGGATACAAAGGCAGGGGTGCCCTTGAATGCGGCTGAGAGCAGGTCAAATAGCACCTCCACGGAGTTCAACCCCATGTGATGTCTGCTAGAATAGAGGGTGTGGGTGGGGTGGGGTGGGGATGAGAGGGTGGGTAAGGAAGGGCAAATATGCAGGGTTGTGCAAGGGCACTGTTGTGAGCAGGTCAGATAACACCTCCACTGAGTTGAGCCCTGTGGTGATGTCTGCTAGACTGGAGAGAGCAGCACAATATATGAAAAAAACGGTGCCTGAATCTTCCACCCGGCCCCTCCACACCCCCTCCCCTCCCTTCAGCTGGGTTTCTCTGGTTCCCAACTTCCCACCCCCTTCCATCCCTCCCTCCCTCCATCCTTGATTCCCAACCCCCATGTCTCTCACCTCATAGGCTTGGCACTCGTCCCGTTCTGTGACCCACTCCCACTCTGCTGCTGCTGTGCCTGTGCCTGCGGCTGCTGATAATGCAAGGGAGGGGGCTGTGGCTGCGGTGGTAACGACCTGGGACCTCCAAGAGGAGACCGCGCACCATCATAACCAGCTCCGTTATAAGCTGCCCCGTTATAAGCAGCTCCGTTATAAGCAGCAGCAGCAGGGTTACCCGGACTGTATCCCCCCCCAACGGGGCTGCCGTAGGTGGGTGAGTTGTAGAGTTGAGGAGGGGTGGAGTGGTTGGCATGGGGATGCAGGTGCGGGGGGAGGCCGCCAGGTGGCACGCCGTGACTGGCTGCTGCACGCTCGGGAGTCGGCACAGGGATGGAGGGGGAGTGGTGGGAGCTTGCAGTGTGGCGATTGGGGGGGAAGGGGACGCCACTCCTCTGCAGGGAAGACAGTGGGGAACAGGGAGACACGGCAGACAACAAAGGTTACTGTTTATACATACGGAGAGCAGGAAAAAACAACAGAATCGCACCTTGAGCTAATAGAACGCGAGAAACTACTCTGTGTGGCGGCAGGTGGGGCGGGAACAGGTCCACGCATTCCCACTTTCAGAGAGAATGAACGGCATCACACACACCTTGAGAGCTAATAGAACGCGAGAAACTACTCCGTGTGGCGGCAGGTGGGCCCAGGGGGGAACACGTCCGCCCACTCCCACTCTAAGGAGAAGGCATAAGGAGAGGGCGAGTCAGTTGAGAGAATTGTCGATCCAATCCTCATGTGTACAAGTCGGGGTCACACCTTGAGCTCGTCGAAGGTGAGGAAGTACTCTGTGTGGTGGCAGGTGGGGCCAGGGGGGAACACGTCCGCCCATTCTCACTTTCAGAGCAAACATGGGAACAGGCAGAGACAGACGGAGCACACCTTGAGCTCGTCGAATGCGAGGAAGTACTCTGTGTGGCGGCAGGTGGGGCCAGGGGGGAACACGTCCGCCCACTCCTGAATGAGCCCTCGCGCTCTTGCTGTTGCTGCAGGGCTCGCCTGTTAATGATAGTTTGGTACCGGGAGGAGGATGGTATAAATTCATTCAGCATGGAGGCGATGGGACATGCAAACACGCGGTACAGGAGGTGAATGAGTGAGAGATGACTTTTGAGTCGACTCAAAAGTCACCTCGTTTGGCACAGGGAGGGAGGATGGTATAATTTCATTCAGCATGGTGGCAATGGGATATGCAAACACGCTGTACAGGAGGTGATGGCGGCAAATGAATGAAAGATTGAATTAGGGCTTTTCCCTACCTAAGAATACACCCCCAAAACAAGGTACAGTTAGAGAACAACCAGACAAACAAACAAGCACGCACCCCTCCTTTCCTGGCGATCTTGGCCACGTCAGCAAGCACTCCTTTCTCCACCACCTGAGCGTGTACTGCCCCCCCACAGTTCTTCATTACCGTCTCCAGCAGCTGTGAAGGGTTGGGAAGGGGGAGAGGACAGAAACGGGTTCAGGTGGTTTAGAAAGGCTGTAACAGGAAAAATGTGGGTGTATGTAATGTACAGTGAGAGCAGGCAGCTGATTTGAGCGTGGACGACATGACACACATGAAAAAGTACAGCAGTGTGGGTCAAATGTAAGAGTTGCAACGTACAGAGGGCGGCAATTGAACAATGTTGTAACGTACAGAGGGCGGCAATTGAACAATGCTGTAACGTACAGTGAGAGCGGAGAGCTGCACTTGTGGATGGCGTGAGGTGACCTTCTTGTGGAGAGCTCGCATGGCGTCTCCCACCTTGCTGGAGGTCGGAGGGGGTGGATAACATAGTCAAAAGCGGTGGTAGGGAGGTGAACAGGGGAGCGTGGAAAGAGTGGATGCGAGGCGTGAGGTGACCTTGTGGAGAGCCCGCATGGCGACCCCCACCTTGCTGGCGGGCACGAGGGAGGATCCGCGAAAGCAACACAAGGACGGGGAAGGGAAGGGAAGGGAAGGGGAGGGGGGGGGGGAGGGGGAGGGGGAGGGGGTAAAGCTGATGAGAAACTCGAGATGACCTCTTGACAACTGCCCCTCACGTCTTCACCCGCCTTGCTAGAGAGCGGGAAACAACGAGTCCAAGGATGCAATAGGGGTAAGAGGGAGAGGCGAGACGGAGGTTGATAAGAGGGACTTGACATGGCCTTCTTGTGAACGGCTCGCATGGTGTCCCCCACCTTGCTGGAGGGTGGGGGAGGAAAAAAGAAAGATAAGTTTGTTTGTTTGTTTTTTCCGCGAGCCAAAAACGACGTGGCCTTCTTGTAAATGGCTCGGATGGCATCTGCTGTCTAGCTCGGTATTGAGAGGGAGGATGAAGGAATAGGAAGGAAGAACAGAAGTAAGAAGCAACACGCTATGACGCTTCGCAGCAGCGAGACTTTCACAAGACTCCTAGCTGTACGTCACACACGGTATCAACATCTTCGTTTTCCAGCGAAAGCGTCATTTAAGAGGTCGATCCAAACGCTTCACAACATAGAGAAATGATGTCCTTGGAGGTAAGCGACGCGAAATTGAGTGTCGCTGCGACGATTCACAACGTTTGAGGCGCCTCACAAGTTGTCGCTGCGACGATTCACAGGTCGGCTCACCCTGGCGATACATTGAGAAGGTCGCAGAGCTGGAGATTGGTGGTCCAATCAGGCTCCGCCAGGTACTCGCTGCACGCCTTATCCACAAGATGCGACGCGCTGGTGTCAGAATGATGACCTCGACTAGACATGACGAGATGCTGATTTCACAATCACTTTGATGCTGGTGTTCTTATTACGGCCTTGCTGCTCAAGTTTAACGAGGAAGCTGATCCAGTGATCCCAATGAAATGCTGTAACCTTAATTTCCACCAGTCACGAAAAATCCTATGGAACCTCTTCCACAACAGCTAAACCTGCAGGGATGAATACACTTGCTAGATTAGCTCTCAGCTAGATCACCTCTCCCATGAATTAGCTCTAATCGCATCAGGGAAGTGTTTCGATGCTTGAAAAGCAATGGAAGACAGGAGGACAAACCAAGTTCATGTGTGCACGTTTCAGGTTCAGGCAGGTGAGCAGAGCGGTTCAAAGTGGTGGTGACCCAAGATCAAAGCCCCCGAGTGCACAACATCGTACTCAACCGATAGTATATCCCTCGAAGAATCTGGTCAATTGTACGAACAAGGTAGCCTTGATGCTGGTGTAGCTGGGTGGTGCTGCTGCTATTGGACTCTGGAAGCGTACTGCTGCTGGACTCTGGAAGCGTACGGGTCCTGCTCTGGGAAACCGAAACTGAACGAAACTAGCCGTTGTACTGTACACAACCACCTCGCAGTGCTGTGCGGAGACGCGGGTACAGAGGAGCAAAGAATCTCCAACAAGAGGGGGTAGCGTTTCATCTTTCAGCAAAGAAGGGTTTTCAGTTGACCACACACACTTACTGAAACTATGCGCCAAAAGCGCAGCACTGTAGCTTCTGGCGCATGGTTTCTTCCAGTTTTTCGCTCATAGCGCAGAATTAGCTCCTTTCAACGCAGTTCGTTCATCATTGGCCAGAATATCGACGGACCGACAACTCCGCTTAAAATGACGGCCTGCGAACCGTCTACACCTGTATTTTGGGCAGACAAAAATATAAACCCCTCTCAGATGGCATGTTGTTTAGGGAAGCATCAACCCTAAACACAATGCGGAAGTGTTTATAGTTGTTGCCATAAACGATCGGTTTTAATGTTCGTGATCTGTATTCTTTTTCGATGGCAGCATCGAGGGAGTCATCAACCCTAAATACCATAAATTGGGTGTTTATGACTGATGCCCTTTTTCATGGGTTATTTTTTTCCGCGCAGGTAAAAATACAAGACTGGATATTAACTGTTCTCACTAACAGTAAAACATATTGGCCTCTAAATTTCGAACATGTGGCCCAATGATAATCGAAAGGCGTTGAAAGGAACTAATACTGCGCGATAAGCGAGAAACTGGCAGAAACCCTGCGCCAGAAGCTACAGTACTGCGCTTTTGGCGTAAAGTTTCAGTGATTGTGCGTGATCAACTGGAAACCCAGCAAAGAATCTCCATGGGAGAAACGAACGAGCATCCACCTCGTTGCAACGTCAACAAGAGGCGGAACAATTGAGCCAGCACGAAAGCATGGAATGAGATGACACGAAACGCACGACCGAGGTCACCCGCGCTTACACTCGTCACGAAATCACGCGCCTTCGTGGAAGCCGAGAGAGGCCGAAACACAACCGCTTGTCATTCACAAGCTGTTGCGATAACAGCACTGATTAGAAGCCGCAATAGAGAGCTGACTTTCAGGAGGGCAACTACTTTTCCACCAAACAATAAAAGAACCCTCCATACTAAATGAAATTACTGCAGAAAAGCAAACGGCACTATGGTACTTGCGGAGCAATAAATAGAAGGGAACAAGTTAGATATGTACAAGTGAAACGGTTAGAAATTCCCAGTATGTTAGATGATGTGAGGAACCTCAATTAGGAATTCGGTCTACCAGTTCACTGGCACCTTCACCAGAGTGATGTAGAGAATCCTGCACAACACAATCGCATAGAAAAAATAGTTTTAATCAGGAGATGGTAACTGAAGCAAGACATTACAATGAGAAAAAACCGTATCAGTCAAATCAAAAGAGGCAGAAAATAAAATTGAGAGGTAAACTGAAAGAATTCACATGATAGAACGAACACTGACCTTCAAAGCTCTCGGCCATTCGAAGCAGCTCCACCAGCTTCTTCCTCTGCTCCTCTGAAGCCACCAACGACTCGCTCAGGTTCCGCACACTCTCCCTCTTAGCCCCCGTCACTCGCTCCAGCTCCTTTCTCACTCTCCCCAACTCCCCTCTAACTCTCTCTAGTTCTTCCTTCAAACTCTCTCCATCCCTTCCCACTCTCTGAAGCTCCTCCCTCACAAACTCCCCATCCCTTGTCACTCTTTCAAGCTCTTTCCTTGCAATCTCCCCCTCAATCCTAGTCATCTCCAATTCAAGCCTCAACCGTTCCAGTTCCTTCACCCACCCCCCTCCATCCCCATTCTTCCCGGCCTCCTCTCTTATTCTCTCAGCCATCCTTCTTTCCTCCTCTGCCTGCTCGGCTGCACGCCTCGCCACTTCAGCATCTTGCCTTGCCAAGTCAGAAGCTTGTTTTGCCAGCTCAGCAGCGAGCTTACATTCGTCAGCAACACGTCTGGCCGCATCAGCCTCTCGTCGTGCCATTTCAGCATCACGTCTTGCCACATCAGCATCACGTCTTGCCACATCAGCATCCAGTCTAGCCTTGTCAGCATCCCTCATAGCTTTGTCAACAGAATCTGAAACATCACTCAACCTCCTCAGTGCATCATTCAAACTTGACTCAGTCTGTATCCTCCTCCTCTCAATCCCTTCCCTCTCATTCTCGGCCTCCAATGCTGCTGCCTCAGCCTCCTCTCTCTTCTGCTCAGCCTCACTCCTTGCCTTCTCCGCTTCCTCCCTCTCTTTCTCCGCCTCGCATTTAACTGCCTCAGCCTCCTCTCTCTTCTGCTCAGCCTCACTCCTTGCCTTCTCCGCTTCCTCCCTTTCATTCTCCGCCTCGCATTTCGCTGCCTCAGCCTCCTCTCTCTTCTGCTCAGCTTCACTCCTTGCCTTCTCCGCTTCCTCCCTCTTCTGCTCAGCCTCCCTCCTTGCCTTCTCCGCTTCCTCCCTCTCTTTCTCCGCTTCGCATTTCGCTGCCTCAGCCTCCTCTCTCTTCTGCTCAGCCTCGCTCCTTGCCTTCTCCGCTTCCTCCCTCTCTTTCTCCGCCTCGCATTTCGCTGCCTCAACCTCCTCTCTCTTCTGCTCAGCCTCACTCTTTGCCTTCTCCGCTTCCTCCCTCTCTTTCTCCGCCTCGCATTTCGCTGCCTCAACCTCCTCTCTCTTCTGCTCAGCCTCACTCCTTGCCTTCTCCGCTTCCTCCCTCTCTTTCTCCGCCTTGCATTTCGCTGCCTCAGCCTCCTCTCTCTTCTGCTCAGCCTCACTCCTTGCCATCTCCGCTTCCTCCCTCTCTTTCTCCGCCTCACATTTCGCTGCCTCAGCCTCCTCTCTCTTCTGCTCAGCCTCACTCCTTGCCTTCTCTGCTTCCTCCCTCTCTTTCTCCGCCTCGCATTTCGCTGCATCAGCCTCACTCCTTGCCTTCTCCGCTTCCTCCCTCTCTTTCTCCGCCTCGCATTTCGCTGCCACAGCCTCCTCTCTCTTCTGCTCAGCCTCACTCCTTGCCTTCTCCGCTTCCTCCCTCTCTTTCTCCGCCTCGCATTTCGCTGCCTCAGCCTCCTCTCTCTTCTGCTCAGCCTCACTCCTTGCCTTCTCCGCTTCCTCCCTATCTTTCTCCGCCTCGCATTTCGCTGCCTCAGCCTCCTCTCTTCTCTGCTCAGCCTCACTCCTTGCCTTCTCCGCTTCCTCCCTCTCTTTCTCCGCCTCGCATTTCGCTGCCTCAGCCTCCTCTCTCTTCTGCTCAGCCTCACTCCTTGCCATCTCCGCTTCCTCGCTCTCTTTCTCCGCCTCGCATTTCGCTGCCTCAGCCTCCTCTCTCTTCTGCTCAGCCTCACTCCTTGCCTTCTCCGCTTCCTCCCTCTCTTTCTCCGCCTCGAATTTCGCTGCCTCAGCCTCCTCTCTCTTCTGCTCAGCCTCACTCCTTGCCTTCTCCGCGTCCTCCCTCTCTTTCTCCGCCTTGCATTTTGCTGCCTCAGCCTCCTCTCTCTTCTGCTCAGCCTCACTCCTTGCCTTCTCCGCTTCCTCCCTCTCTTTCTCCGCCTCGCATTTCGCTGCCTCAGCCTCCTCTCTCTTCTGCTCAGCCTCACTCCTTGCCTTCTCCGCTTCCTCCCTCTCTTTCTCCGCCTCGCATTTCGCTGCCTCAGCCTCCTCTCTCTTCTGCTCAGCCTCACTCCTTGCCTTCTCCGCTTCCTCCCTATCTTTCTCCGCCTCGCATTTCGCTGCCTCAGCCTCCTCTCTTCTCTGCTCAGCCTCACTCCTTGCCTTCTCCGCTTCCTCCCTCTCTTTCTCCGCCTCGCATTTCGCTGCCTCAGCCTCCTCTCTCTTCTGCTCAGCCTCACTCCTTGCCTTCTCCGCTTCCTCACTCTCTTTCTCCGCCTCGCATTTCGCTGCCTCAGCCTCCTCTCTCTTCTGCTCAGCCTCACTCCTTGCCTTCTCCGCTTCCTCCCTTTCTTTCTCTGCCTCGCATTTCGCTGCCTCAGCCTCCTCTCTCTTCTGCTCAGCCTCACTCCTTGCCTTCTCCGCTTCCTCCCTCTCTTTCTCCGCCTCGCATTTCGCTGCCTCAGCCTCCTCTCTCTTCTGCTCAGCCTCACTCCTTGCCTTCTCCGCTTCCTCCCTCTCTTTCTCCGCCTCGCATTTCGCTGCCTCAACCTCCTCTCTCTTCTGCTCAGCCTCACTCTTTGCCTTCTCCGCTTCCTCCCTCTCTTTCTCCGCCTCGCATTTCGCTGCCTCAACCTCCTCTCTCTTCTGCTCAGCCTCACTCCTTGCCTTCTCCGCTTCCTCCCTCTCTTTCTCCGCCTTGCATTTCGCTGCCTCAGCCTCCTCTCTCTTCTGCTCAGCCTCACTCCTTGCCATCTCCGCTTCCTCCCTCTCTTTCTCCGCCTCGCATTTCGCTGCCTCAGCCTCCTCTCTCTTTTGCTCAGCCTCACTCCTTGCCTTCTCCGCTTCCTCCCTCTCTTTCTCCGCCTCGCATTGCGCTGCCTCAGCCTCCTCTCTCTTCTGCTCAGCCTCACTCCTTGCCTTCTCCGCTTCCTCCCTCTCTTTCTCCGCCTCGCATTTCACTGCCTCAGCCTCCTCTCTCTTCTGCTCAGCCTCACTCCTTGCCTTCTCCGCTTCCTCCCTCTCTTTCTCCGCCTCGCATTTCGCTGCCTCAGCCTCCTCTCTCTTCTGCTCAGCCTCACTCCTTGCCATCTCCGCTTCCTCGCTCTCTTTCTCCGCCTCGCATTTCGCTGCCTCAGCCTCCTCTCTCTTCTGCTCAGCCTCACTCCTTGCCTTCTCCGCTTCCTCCCTCTCTTTCTCCGCCTCGAATTTCGCTGCCTCAGCCTCCTCTCTCTTCTGCTCAGCCTCACTCCTTGCCTTCTCCGCGTCCTCCCTCTCTTTCTCCGCCTTGCATTTTGCTGCCTCAGCCTCCTCTCTCTTCTGCTCAGCCTCACTCCTTGCATTCTCCGCTTCCTCCCTCTCTTTCTCCGCCGCGCATTTCGCTGCCTCAGCCTCCTCTCTCTTCTGCTCAGCCTCACTCCTTGCCTTCTCCGCTTCCTCCCTCTCTTTCTCCGCCTCGCATTTCGCTGCCTCAGCCTCCTCTCTCTTCTGCTCAGCCTCACTCCTTGCCTTCTCCGCTTCCTCCCTATCTTTCTCCGCCTCGCATTTCGCTGCCTCAGCCTCCTCTCTCTTCTGCTCAGCCTCACTCCTTGCCTTCTCTGCTTCCTCCCTCTCTTTCTCCGCCTCGCATTTCGCTGCATCAGCCTCACTCCTTGCCTTCTCCGCTTCCTCCCTCTCTTTCTCCGCCTCGCATTTCGCTGCCACAGCCTCCTCTCTCTTCTGCTCAGCCTCACTCCTTGCCTTCTCCGCTTCCTCCCTCTCTTTCTCCGCCTCGCATTTCGCTGCCTCAGCCTCCTCTCTCTTCTGCTCAGCCTCACTCCTTGCCTTCTCCGCTTCCTCCCTATCTTTCTCCGCCTCGCATTTCGCTGCCTCAGCCTCCTCTCTTCTCTGCTCAGCCTCACTCCTTGCCTTCTCCGCTTCCTCCCTCTCTTTCTCCGCCTCGCATTTCGCTGCCTCAGCCTCCTCTCTCTTCTGCTCAGCCTCACTCCTTGCCTTCTCCGCTTCCTCACTCTCTTTCTCCGCCTCGCATTTCGCTGCCTCAGCCTCCTCTCTCTTCTGCTCAGCCTCACTCCTTGCCTTCTCCGCTTCCTCCCTTTCTTTCTCTGCCTCGCATTTCGCTGCCTCAGCCTCCTCTCTCTTCTGCTCAGCCTCACTCCTTGCCTTCTCCGCTTCCTCCCTCTCTTTCTCCGCCTCGCATTTCGCTGCCTCAGCCTCCTCTCTCTTCTGCTCAGCCTCACTCCTTGCCTTCTCCGCTTCCTCCCTCTCTTTCTCCGCCTCGCATTTCGCTGCCTCAACCTCCTCTCTCTTCTGCTCAGCCTCACTCTTTGCCTTCTCCGCTTCCTCCCTCTCTTTCTCCGCCTCGCATTTCGCTGCCTCAACCTCCTCTCTCTTCTGCTCAGCCTCACTCCTTGCCTTCTCCGCTTCCTCCCTCTCTTTCTCCGCCTTGCATTTCGCTGCCTCAGCCTCCTCTCTCTTCTGCTCAGCCTCACTCCTTGCCATCTCCGCTTCCTCCCTCTCTTTCTCCGCCTCACATTTCGCTGCCTCAGCCTCCTCTCTCTTCTGCTCAGCCTCACTCCTTGCCTTCTTCGCGTCCTCCCTCTCTTTCTCCGCCTTGCATTTCGCTGCCTCAGCCTCCTCTCTCTTCTGCTCAGCCTCACTCCTTGCCATCTCCGCTTCCTCCCTCTCTTTCTCCGCCTCACATTTCGCTGCCTCAGCCTCCTCTCTCTTCTGCTCAGCCTCACTCCTTGCCTTCTTCGCGTCCTCCCTCTCTTTCTCCGCCTTGCATTTTGCTGCCTCAGCCTCCTCTCTCTTCTGCTCAGCCTCACTCCTTGCCATCTCCGCTTCCTCCCTCTCTTTCTCCGCCTCGCATTTCGCTGCCTCAACCTCCTCTCTCTTCTGCTCAGCCTCACTCTTTGCCTTCTCCGCTTCCTCCCTCTCTTTCTCCGCCTCGCATTTCGCTGCCTCAACCTCCTCTCTCTTCTGCTCAGCCTCACTCCTTGCCTTCTCCGCTTCCTCCCTCTCTTTCTCCGCCTTGCATTTCGCTGCCTCAGCCTCCTCTCTCTTCTGCTCAGCCTCACTCCTTGCCTTCTCCGCTTCCTCACTCTCTTTCTCCGCCTCGCATTTCGCTGCCTCAGCCTCCTCTCTCTTCTGCTCAGCCTCACTCCTTGCCTTCTCCGCTTCCTCCCTCTCTTTCTCCGCCTCGCATTTCGCTGCCTCAGCCTCCTCTCTCTTCTGCTCAGCCTCACTCCTTGCCTTCTCCGCTTCCTCCCTCTCTTTCTCCGCCTCGCATTTCGCTGCCTCAGCCTCCTCTCTCTTCTGCTCAGCCTCACTCCTTGCCTTCTCCACTTCGTCCCTCTCTTTCTCCGCCTCGCATTTCGCTGCCTCAGCCTCCTCTCTCTTTTGCTCAGCCTCACTCCTTGCCTTCTCCGCTTCCTCCCTCTCTTTCTCCGCCTCGCATTTCGCTGCCTCAGCCTCCTCTCTCTTTTGCTCAGCCTCACTCCTTGCCTTCTCCGCTTCCTCCCTCTCTTTCTCCGCCTCGCATTTCGCTGCCTCAGCCTCCTCTCTCTTCTGCTCAGCCTCACTCCTTGCCTTCTCCGCTTCCTCCCTCTCTTTCTCCGCCTCGCATTTCGCTGCCTCAGCCTCCTCTCTCTTCTGCTCAGCCTCACTCCTTGCCTTCTCCGCTTCCTCACTCTCTTTCTCCGCCACGCATTTCGCTGCCTCAGCCTCCTCTCTCTTCTGCTCAGCCTCACTCCTTGCCTTCTCCGCTTCCTCCCTCTCTTTCTCCGCCTCGCATTTCGCTGCCTCAGCCTCCTCTCTCTTCTGCTCAGCCTCACTCCTTGCCTTCTCCGCTTCCTCCCTCTCTTTCTCCGCCTCGCATTTCGCTGCCTCAGCCTCCTCTCTCTTCTGCTCAGCCTCACTCCTTGCCTTCTCCACTTCGTCCCTCTCTTTCTCCGCCTCGCATTTCGCTGCCTCAGCCTCCTCTCTCTTTTGCTCAGCCTCACTCCTTGCCTTCTCCGCTTCCTCCCTCTCTTTCTCCGCCTCGCATTTCGCTGCCTCAGCCTCCTCTCTCTTTTGCTCAGCCTCACTCCTTGCCTTCTCCGCTTCCTCCCTCTCTTTCTCCGCCTCGCATTTCGCTGCCTCAGCCTCCTCTCTCTTCTGCTCAGCCTCACTCCTTGCCTTCTCCGCTTCCTCCCTCTCTTTCTCCGCCTCGCATTTCGCTGCCTCAGCCTCCTCTCTCTTCTGCTCAGCCTCACTCCTTGCCTTCTCCGCTTCCTCCCTCTCTTTCTCCGCCTCGCATTTCGCTGCCTCAGCCTCCTCTCTCTTCTGCTCAGCCTCACTCCTTGCCTTCTCTGCTTCCTCCCTCTCTTTCTCCGCCTCGCATTTCGCTGTCTCAGCCTCCTCTCTCTTCTGCTCAGCCTCACTCCTTGCCTTCTCCGCTTCCTCCCTCTCTTTCTCCGCCTCGCATTTCGCTACCTCAGCCTCCTCCCTCTTCTGCTCAGCCTCACTCCTTGCCTTCTCCGCTTCCTCCTTCTCTTTCTCCGCCTCGCATTTCGCTGCCTCAGCCTCCTCTCTCTTCTGCTCAGCCTCACTCCTTGCCTTCTTCGCGTCCTCCCTCTCTTTCTCCGCCTTGCATTTCGCTGCCTCAGCCTCCTCTCTCTTCTGCTCAGCCTCACTCCTTGCCATCTCCGCTTCCTCCCTCTCTTTCTCCGCCTCACATTTCGCTGCCTCAGCCTCCTCTCTCTTCTGCTCAGCCTCACTCCTTGCCTTCTTCGCGTCCTCCCTCTCTTTCTCCGCCTTGCATTTTGCTGCCTCAGCCTCCTCTCTCTTCTGCTCAGCCTCACTCCTTGCCATCTCCGCTTCCTCCCTCTCTTTCTCCGCCTCGCATTTCGCTGCCTCAACCTCCTCTCTCTTCTGCTCAGCCTCACTCTTTGCCTTCTCCGCTTCCTCCCTCTCTTTCTCCGCCTCGCATTTCGCTGCCTCAACCTCCTCTCTCTTCTGCTCAGCCTCACTCCTTGCCTTCTCCGCTTCCTCCCTCTCTTTCTCCGCCTTGCATTTCGCTGCCTCAGCCTCCTCTCTCTTCTGCTCAGCCTCACTCCTTGCCTTCTCCGCTTCCTCACTCTCTTTCTCCGCCTCGCATTTCGCTGCCTCAGCCTCCTCTCTCTTCTGCTCAGCCTCACTCCTTGCCTTCTCCGCTTCCTCCCTCTCTTTCTCCGCCTCGCATTTCGCTGCCTCAGCCTCCTCTCTCTTCTGCTCAGCCTCACTCCTTGCCTTCTCCGCTTCCTCCCTCTCTTTCTCCGCCTCGCATTTCGCTGCCTCAGCCTCCTCTCTCTTCTGCTCAGCCTCACTCCTTGCCTTCTCCACTTCGTCCCTCTCTTTCTCCGCCTCGCATTTCGCTGCCTCAGCCTCCTCTCTCTTTTGCTCAGCCTCACTCCTTGCCTTCTCCGCTTCCTCCCTCTCTTTCTCCGCCTCGCATTTCGCTGCCTCAGCCTCCTCTCTCTTTTGCTCAGCCTCACTCCTTGCCTTCTCCGCTTCCTCCCTCTCTTTCTCCGCCTCGCATTTCGCTGCCTCAGCCTCCTCTCTCTTCTGCTCAGCCTCACTCCTTGCCTTCTCCGCTTCCTCCCTCTCTTTCTCCGCCTCGCATTTCGCTGCCTCAGCCTCCTCTCTCTTCTGCTCAGCCTCACTCCTTGCCTTCTCCGCTTCCTCACTCTCTTTCTCTGCCTCGCATTTCGCTGCCTCAGCCTCCTCTCTCTTCTGCTCAGCCTCACTCCTTGCCTTCTCCGCTTCCTCCCTCTCTTTCTCCGCCTCGCATTTCGCTGCCTCAGCCTCCTCTCTCTTCTGCTCAGCCTCACTCCTTGCCTTCTCCGCTTCCTCCCTCTCTTTCTCCGCCTCGCATTTCGCTGCCTCAGCCTCCTCTCTCTTCTGCTCAGCCTCACTCCTTGCCTTCTCCACTTCGTCCCTCTCTTTCTCCGCCTCGCATTTCGCTGCCTCAGCCTCCTCTCTCTTTTGCTCAGCCTCACTCCTTGCCTTCTCCGCTTCCTCCCTCTCTTTCTCCGCCTCGCATTTCGCTGCCTCAGCCTCCTCTCTCTTTTGCTCAGCCTCACTCCTTGCCTTCTCCGCTTCCTCCCTCTCTTTCTCCGCCTCGCATTTCGCTGCCTCAGCCTCCTCTCTCTTCTGCTCAGCCTCACTCCTTGCCTTCTCCGCTTCCTCCCTCTCTTTCTCCGCCTCGCATTTCGCTGCCTCAGCCTCCTCTCTCTTCTGCTCAGCCTCACTCCTTGCCTTCTCCGCTTCCTCCCTCTCTTTCTCCGCCTCGCATTTCGCTGCCTCAGCCTCCTCTCTCTTCTGCTCAGCCTCACTCCTTGCCTTCTCTGCTTCCTCCCTCTCTTTCTCCGCCTCGCATTTCGCTGTCTCAGCCTCCTCTCTCTTCTGCTCAGCCTCACTCCTTGCCTTCTCCGCTTCCTCCCTCTCTTTCTCCGCCTCGCATTTCGCTACCTCAGCCTCCTCCCTCTTCTGCTCAGCCTCACTCCTTGCCTTCTCCGCTTCCTCCTTCTCTTTCTCCGCCTCGCATTTCGCTGCCTCAGCCTCCTCTCTCTTCTGCTCAGCCTCACTCCTTGCCTTCTCCGCTTCCTCCCTCTCTTTCTCCGCCTCGCATTTCACTGCCTCAGCCTCCTCTCTCTTCTGCTCAGCCTCACTCCTTGCCTTCTCCGCTTCCTCCCTCTCTTTCTCCGCCTCGCATTTCGCTGCCTCAGCCTCCTCTCTCTTCTGCTCAGCCTCACTCCTTGCCTTCTCCGCTTCCTCACTCTCTTTCTCCGCCTCGCAATTCGCTGCCTCAGCCTCCTCTCTCTTCTGCTCAGCCTCACTCCTTGCCATCTCCACTTCCTCCCTCTCTTTCTCCGCCTCGCATTTCGCTGCCTCAGCCTCCTCTCTCTTCTGCTCAGCCTCACTCTTTGCCTTCTCCGCTTCCTCCCTCTCTTTCTCCGCCTCGCATTTCGCTGCATCAGCCTCACTCCTTGCCTTCTCCGCTTCCTCCCTCTCTTTCTCCGCCTCGCATTTCGCTGCCTCAGCCTCCTCTCTCTTCTGCTCAGCCTCACTCCTTGCCTTCTCCGCTTCCTCCCTCTCTTTCTCCGCCTCGCATTTCGCTGCGTCAGCCTCCTCTCTCTTTTTCTCAGCCTCACTCCTTGCCTTCTCCGCTTCCTCCCTCTCTTTCTCCGCCTCGCATTTCGTTGCCTCAGCCTCCTCTCTCTTCTGCTCAGCCTCACTCCTTGCCTTCTCCGCTTCCTCCCTCTCTTTCTCCGCCGCGCATTTCGCTGCCTCAGCCTCCTCTCTCTTCTGCTCAGCCTCACTCCATCCCTTCTCCGCTTCCTCCCTCTCTTTCTCCGCCTCGCATTTCGCTGTCTCAGCCTCCTCTCTCTTCTGCTCAGCCTCACTCCTTGCCTTCTCCGCTTCCTCCCTATCTTTCTCCGCCTCCCATTTCGCTGCCTCAGCCTCCTCTCTCTTCTGCTCAGCCTCACTCCTTGCCTTCTCCGCTTCCTCCCTCTCTTTCTCCGACTCGCATTTCGCTGCCTCAGCCTCCTCTCTCTTCTGCTCAGCCTCACTCCTTGCCTTCTCCGCTTCCTCCCTATCTTTCTCCGTCTCGCATTTCGCTGCCTCAGCCTCCTCTCTCTTCTGCTCAGCCTCACTCCTTGCCTTCTCCGCGTCCTCCCTCTCTTTCTCCGCCTCGCATTTAGCAGCTTCAGCCTCACTCCTTGCCTTCTCCGCTTCCTCCCTCTCTTTCTCCGCCTCGCATTTCGCTGCCTCAGCCTCCTCTCTCTTCTGCTCAGCCTCACTCCTTGCCTGCTCCGCTTCGTCCCTCTCTTTCTCCGCCTTGAATTTCGCTGCCTCAGCCTCCTCTCTCTTCTGCTCAGCCTCACTCCTTGCCTTCTCCGCTTCCTCCCTCTCTTTCTCCGCCTCGCATTTCGCTATCTCAGCCTCCTCTCTCTTCTGCTCAGCCTCACTCCTTGCCTTCTCCGCTTCCTCCCTCTCTTTCTCCGCCTCGCATTTCGCTGCCTCAGCCTCCTCCCTCTTCTGCTCAGCCTCACTCCTTGCCTTCTCCGCTTCCTCCCTCTCTTTCTCGGCCTCGCATTTCGCTGCCTCAGCCTCCTCTCTCTTCTGCTCAGCCTCACTCCTTGCCTTCTCCACTTCCTCCCTCTTCTGCTCAGCCTCCCTCCTTGCCTTCTCCGCTTCCTCCCTCTCTTTCTCCGCTTCGCATTTCGCTGCCTCAGCCTCCTCTCTCTTCTGCTCAGCCTCGCTCCTTGCCTTCTCCGCTTCCTCCCTCTCTTTCTCCGCCTCGCATTTCGCTGCCTCAGCCTCCTCTCTCTTCTGCTCAGCCTCACTCCTTGCCTTCTCCGCTTCCTCCCTCTCTTTCTCCGCCTCGCATTTCGCTGCCTCAGCCTCCTCTCTCTTCTGCTCAGCCTCACTCCTTGCCTTCTCCGCTTCCTCCCTCTCTTTCTCCGCCTCGCATTTCGCTGCCTCAGCCTCCTCTCTATTCCGCTCAGCCTCGCTCCTTGCCTTCTGCGCTTCCTCCCTCTTTTTGTCCGCCTCGCATTTCGCTGCCTCAGCCTCCTCTCTATTCTGCTCAGCCTCGCTCCTTGCCTTCTCCGCTTCCTCCCTCTTTTTCTCCGCCTCGCATTTCGCTGCCTCAGCCTCCTCTCTCTTCTGTTCAGCCTCACTCCTTGCCTTCTCCGCTTCCTCCCTCTCTTTCTCCGCCTCGAATTTCGCTGCCTCAGCCTCCTCTCTCTTCTGCTCAGCCTCACTCCTTGCCTTCTCCGCTTCCTCCCTCTCTTTCTCCGCCGCGCATTTCGCTGCCTCAGCCTCCTCTCTCTTCTGCTCAGCCTCACTCCTTCCCTTCTCCGCTTCCTCCCTCTCTTTCTCCGCCTCGCATTTCGCTGTCTCAGCCTCCTCTCTCTTCTGCTCAGCCTCACTCCTTGCCTTCTCCGCTTCCTCCCTATCTTTCTCCGCCTCGCATTTCGCTGCCTCAGCCTCCTCTCTCTTCTGCTCAGCCTCACTCCTTGCCTTCTCCGCTTCCTCCCTCTCTTTCTCCGACTCGCATTTCGCTGCCTCAGCCTCCTCTCTCTTCTGCTCAGACTCACTCCTTGCCTTCTCCGCTTCCTCCCTCTCTTTCTCCGACTCGCATTTCGCTGCCTCAGCCTCCTCTCTCTTCTGCTCAGCCTCACTCCATGCCTTCTCCGCGTCCTCCCTCTCTTTCTCCGCCTCGCATTTAGCAGCTTCAGCCTCACTCCTTGCCTTCTCCGCTTCCTCCCTCTCTTTCTCCGCCTCGCATTTCGCTGCCTCAGCCTCCTCTCTCTTCTGCTCAGCCTCACTCCTTGCCTGCTCCGCTTCCTCCCTCTCTTTCTCCGTCTTGAATTTCGCTGCCTCAGCCTCCTCTCTCTTCTGCTCAGCCTCACTCCTTGCCTTCTCCGCTTCCTCCCTCTCTTTCTCCGCCTCGCATTTCGCTATCTCAGCCTCCTCTCTCTTCTGCTCAGCCTCACTCCTTGCCTTCTCCGCTTCCTCCCTATCTTTCTCCGCCTCGCATTTCGCTGCCTCAGCCTCCTCTCTCTTCTGCTCAGCCTCACTCCTTGCCTTCTCCGCTTCCTCCCTCTCTTTCTCCGCCTCGCATTTCGCTGCCTCAGCCTCCTCTCTCTTCTGTTCAGCCTCACTCCTTGCCTTCTCCGCTTCCTCCCTCTCTTTCTCCGCCTCGAATTTCGCTGCCTCAGCCTCCTCTCTCTTCTGCTCAGCCTCACTCCTTGCATTCTCCGCTTCCTCCCTCTCTTTCTCCGCCGCGCATTTCGCTGCCTCAGCCTCCTCTCTCTTCTGCTCAGCCTCACTCCTTCCCTTCTCCGCTTCCTCCCTCTCTTTCTCCGCCTCGCATTTCGCTGTCTCAGCCTCCTCTCTCTTCTGCTCAGCCTCACTCCTAGCCTTCTCCGCTTCCTCCCTATCTTTCTCCGCCTCGCATTTCGCTGCCTCAGCCTCCTCTCTCTTCTGCTCAGCCTCACTCCTTGCCTTCTCCGCTTCCTCCCTCTCTTTCTCCGACTCGCATTTCGCTGCCTCAGCCTCCTCTCTCTTCTGCTCAGCCTCACTCCTTGCCTTCTCCGCTTCCTCCCTCTCTTTCTCCAACTCGCATTTCGCTGCCTCAGCCTCCTCTCTCTTCTGCTCAGCCTCACTCCTTGCCTTCTCCGCGTCCTCCCTCTCTTTCTCCGCCTCGCATTTAGCAGCTTCAGCCTCACTCCTTGCCTTCTCCGCTTCCTCCCTCTCTTTCTCCGCCTCGCATTTCGCTGCCTCAGCCTCCTCTCTCTTTTGCTCAGCCTCACTCCTTGCCTGCTCCGCTTCCTCCCTCTCTTTCTCCGCCTTGAATTTCGCTGCCTCAGCCTCCTCTCTCTTCTGCTCAGCCTCACTCCTTGCCTTCTCTGCTTCCTCCCTCTCTTTCTCCGCCTCGCATTTCGCTGTCTCAGCCTCCTCTCTCTTCTGCTCAGCCTCACTCCTTGCCTTCTCCGCTTCCTCCCTCTCTTTCTCCGCCTCGCATTTCGCTGCCTCAGCCTCCTCCCTCTTCTGCTCAGCCTCACTCCTTGCCTTCTCCGCTTCCTCCCTCTCTTTCTCCGCCTCGCATTTCGCTGCCTCAGCCTCCTCTCTCTTCTGCTCAGCCTCACTCCTTGCCTTCTCCGCTTCCTCCCTCTTCTTCTCAGCCTCACTCTTTGCCTTCTCCGCTTGCTCCCTCTCTTTCTCCGCCTCGCATTTCGCTGCCCCAGCCTCCTCTCTCTTCTGCTCAGCCTCACTCCTTGCCTGCTCCGCTTCCTCCCTCTCTTTCTCCGCCTTGCATTTCGCTGCCTCAGCCTCCTCTCTCTTCTGCTCAGCCTCACTCCTTGCCTTCTCCGCTTCCTCCCTCTCTTTCTCCGCCACGCATTTCGCTGCCTCAGCCTCCTCTCTCTTCTGCTCAGCCTCATTCCTTGCCTTCTCCGCTTCCTCCCTCTCTTTCTCCGCCTCGCATTTCGCTGCCTCAGCCTCCACCCTCTTCTGCTCAGCCTCCCTCCTTGCCTTCTCCGATTCCTCCCTCTCTTTCTCCGCCTCGCATTTCGCTGCCTCAGCCTCCTCTCTCTTCTGCTCAGCCTCACTCCTTGCCTTCTCCGCTTCCTCACTCTCTTTCTCCGCCTCGCATTTCGCTGCCTCAGCCTCCTCTCTCTTCTGCTCAGCCTCACTCCTTGCCTTCTGCGCTTCCTCCCTCTTTTTGTCCGCCACGCATTTCGCTGCCTCAGCCTCCTCTCTATTCTGCTCAGCCTCGCTCCTTGCCTTCTCCGCTTCCTCCCTCTCTTTCTCCGCCTCGCATTTTGCTGCCTCAGCCTCCTCTCTATTCCGCTCAGCCTCGCTCCTTGCCTTCTGCGCTTCCTCCCTCTTTTTCTCCGCCTCGCATTTTGCTGCCTCAGCCTCCTCTCTATTCTGCTCAGCCTCGCTCCTTGCCTTCTCCGCTTCCTCCCTCTCTTTCTCCGCCTCGCATTTCGCTGCCTCAGCCTCCTCTCTCTTCTGTTCAGCCTCACTCCTTGCCTTCTCCGCTTCCTCCCTCTCTTTCTCCGCCGCGCATTTCGCTGCCTCAGCCTCCTCTCTCTTCTGCTCAGCCTCACTCCTTGCCTTCTCCGCTTCCTCCCTCTCTTTCTCCGCCTCGCATTTCGCTGTCTCAGCCTCCTCTCTCTTCTGCTCAGCCTCACTCCTTGCCTTCTCCGCTTCCTCCCTATCTTTCTCCGCCTCGCATTTCGCTGCCTCAGCCTCCTCTCTCTTCTGCTCAGCCTCACTCCTTGCCTTCTCCGCTTCCTCCCTCTCTTTCTCCGACTCGCATTTCGCTGCCTCAGCCTCCTCTCTCTTCTGCTCAGCCTCACTCCTTGCCTTCTCCGCTTCCTCCCTCTCTTTCTCCCACTCGCATTTCGCTGCCTCAGCCTCCTCTCTCTTCTGCTCAGCCTCACTCCTTGCCTCCGCGTCCTCCCTCTCTTTCTCCGCCTCGCATTTAGCAGCTTCAGCCTCACTCCTTGCCTTCTCCGCTTCCTCCCTCTCTTTCTCCGCCTCGCATTTCGCTGCCTCAGCCTCCTCTCTCTTCTGCTCAGCCTCACTCCTTGCCTGCTCCACTTCCTCCCTCTCTTTCTCCGCCTTGCATTTCGCTGCCTCAGCCTCCTCTCTCTTCTGCTCAGCCTCACTCCTTGCCTTCTCCGCTTCCTCCCTCTCTTTCTCCGCCTCGCATTTCGCTGTCTCAGCCTCCTCTCTCTTCTGCTCAGCCTCACTCCTTGCCTTCTCCGCTTCCTCCCTCTCTTTCTCCGCCTCGCATTTCGCTGCCTCAGCCTCCTCTCTATTCCGCTCAGCCTCGCTCCTTGCCTTCTGCGCTTCCTCCCTCTTTTTCTCCGCCTCGCATTTCGCTGCCTCAGCCTCCTCTCTATTCTGCTCAGCCTCGCTCCTTGCCTTCTCCGCTTCCTCCCTCTCTTTCTCCGCCTCGCATTTCGCTGCCTCAGCCTCCTCTCTCTTCTGCTCAGCCTCACTCCTTGCCTTCTCCGCTTCCTCCCTCTCTTTCTTCGCCTCGCATTTCGCTGCCTCAGCCTCCTCTCTCTTCTGCTCAGCCTCACTCTTTGCCTTCTCCGATTCCTCCCTCCCTTTCTCCGCCTCGCATTTAGCTGCATCAGCCTCACTCCTTGCCTTCTCCGCTTCCTCCCTCTCTTTCTCCGCCTCGCATTTCCCTGCCTCAGCCTCCTCTCTCTTATTCTCAGCTTCACTCCTTGCCTTCTCCGCTTCCTCCCTCCCTTTCTCCGCCTCGCATTTAGCTTGCTCAGCCTCAATCCTTGCCTTCCCCGCTTCCTCCCTCTCTTGCTCCGCCTCGCATTTCGCTGCCTCAGCCTCCTCTCTCTTCTGCTCAGCCTCACTCCTTGCCTTCTCCGCTTCCTCCCTCTTCTGCTCAGCCTCACTCCTTGCCTTCTCCGCTTCCTCCCTCTCTTTCTCCGCCTCGCATTTCGCTGCCTCAGCCTCCTCTCTCCTCTGCTCAGCCTCACTCCTTGCCTTCTCCGCTTCCTCCCTTTCTTTCTCCGCCTCGCATTTCGCTGCCTCAGCCTCCTCTCTCTTCTGCTCAGCCTCACTCCTTGCCTTCTCCACTGCCTCCCTCTCTTTCTCCGCCTCGCATTTCGCTGCCTCAGCCTCCTCTCTCTTCTGCTCAGCCTCACTCCTTGCCTTCTCCACTTCCTCCCTCTCTTTCTCCGCCTCGCATTTCGCTGCCACAGCCTCCTCTCTCTTCTGCTCAGCCTCACTCCTTGCCTTCTCCGCTTCCTCCCTCTTCTGCTCAGCCTCACTCCTTGCCTTCTCCGCTTCCTCCCTCTCTTTCTCCGCCTCGCATTTCGCTGCCTCAGCCTCCTCTCTCTTCTGCTCAGCCTCACTCCACGCCCTCTCTGCTTTGTCCCTTCTCTTCTCTGCTTCTGCCGTCTCCCTTTCAGCGTCCTCTCTGCACTTCTCCGCCTGTAACCGCGTCTCCTCCCTCTCCCTCTCTTGTTCTTCCCTCTCCCTCTCTCTTTCCTCCCTCTCCCCCTCTCTTTCTTCCCTCTCCCTCTCCCTCTCAACCAGCCGCCTCTCTGCTACGTCCCTTTCCCTCTCTGCTACATCCCTCTCCCTTGCAGCAACATCCCTCTCATGCTCAGCACTCACTCTCCTCCTCTCTGACTCGCTAAGAGCATTCTCCAGTTCCTGTATAACCCTCTCCGCCTCCTCTCCATACCTCTCCTCCCCCTCCCTTCCTCCTGCTGCCATCAACCCACGCAGCTGCAACAGCTGCCCCTCAGCTTCAGTTTCTCGATTCTCTCCCTCGCGCTGTTCATGGTGGCCCTCATACACTGTCAGAACCTCCTTCACCTGCTCGTCCTCCTCCCCTTCACTCATCTCCTTGTTTGTTCCCTGCCCCTGCTCCTTCTCCTCCTGCTGCCCCTGCTGGCGCTCCTGCTCCTTCTGCTTCGGCCTGTCCCGTTCGCTGCTACTCACTTCGATCGAGCTCAACCCTATAGGTTGCTTCCGACCCTCTCTAACCCTTTCAGTGCACCCGTCTGTCATTCTCTCCCCTGCAGTGTGCCCCTCACCTACTGTCCCCTTTGAGTTTCCCTTCGATACAGGAGAGTCTGCAACCAAAGCAGTTTCAAGTCTCGATTCATCATTACCTCCCTTTCCCTCCTCCTCCTCTTTCTCCTCTCCCACCTCCTCTCCCATCAGCCGTTTCACCTCCCTTCTCAGCCTCAACACTTCTCCTTGCACCTCCTTCATCCTCCCAATCACCTCGTCCCTTTCCCTCTCCGCCCTCTCCCTCCCCCTATCCGCCTCCTCCCTCACTCTCTGCACATCCCTTACCCTCCCTTCAACCTTCCTACACCTTTCTTCTAGGCCCCTTCTCTCCTCCTCCCCTTTAAGCAACTCAGCTTGAAGTTGCCTCCCCCACACTCTCAAGTCATGTGCCACGTTCTCTGCTTCCTCCATTCGCTTCCTTGCCTCCCTCACTCTCTCCCCTTCCTCCCCTTCACTTAACCTACCCCCCCCTGCCCGTTGGTGCGCTTCCACGGTCAGCATTAAAGATTCTATTTTCCCCTCCAGTCCAATCTTCTTTGCCCGTTCCTCTTCCCGGGCAGCCAGAGCCGCCGCCGTTTCTGCCCGCAATACTTCCACCTCACGTTTCTTCGCCTCAGCTTCCACCCTAGCCATTTCCGCAGCTGCCCGAACCAGCTCCGACTCCGCCTTAAACTTCTCCGCAGCTGCCCGAGCTTTCTCAGCCTCAGCCTGCGCAGTTTCCGCTTCTGCCCGAATCTTATCCGAATCTTCCCACACTCGCTTAGCCTCAATCCTCATCCGTTCAGCATCCAGAACCTTCTTAGCAGCTTCTTCCACCTTCAGTAATGCCATATCCCTCTCCCTTAAAGCCCCTTCCATTACCCTCTCAGCTTCAACCTTCTCTCTCACTGCAACCTCTCTCAACCTCTCCGCTTCCTTCCTCCCTCTCTCTGCTCCCTCTGCTGCTCCTACCGCCTCTTCTATCGCACTCTCAGCAACCTCTCTCCTCCTCTTCGCCTCCTCACACTCCTCCTCTGCAATCCTCCTCCTCGATTCCTCCTCCACCCTCCTCCTTTCGGCCTCATCCCTTTCCCTCGCCATCTCCTCCCTCTCATATACCGCCTGGTCTCTCAACTCAAGGGCTGCTTTTTCCCCGTTATGAGCCTCCTCCATTGCCTTTACAGCTACGTCTCTCTTCGCCTCAGCTTCCCTCACTGCTTTACTTGCTGCTACCAACCTCCCTTCCATTTCTCCCCTTTCTCTCTCCACCTCCTCCCTCACTCTCTCCCCCTCTTTCTCCACATCCCTCGCCCTCCTCACAGCCTCCTCCCTCTCCTCCTCACCCTCACCCTTCCTCCTCTCTGCCTCCTCCCTCCCCTTCTCCGCCTCCTCCCTCCTCCTCCTCTCCTCCTCCAACTCCCTTTCAACCTCCTCCCTCCTCCTCCCCTCCATCTCTCTCCCCTTCTCACTCTCCCTCCACAACCCTTCCACTTCCCCCAACCTCCCTTCAGCTTCCTCTCTCCTTCTCTCTGCTTCATCCCGTTCCAGTAAAGCCCTAACCATTCTCTCTTCTGCTTCCTTCCGTTTCCTCTCTGCTCCCTGCTTCCCTCTCTCTGCCTCTTCTCTCGCCCTCAAGGCTTCTCTCAGTCCTCTCTCCGCCTCCTCTCGCCTTCTCCCTAGCTCCAACCACCCACCCCGGATTAGCCCTCGAGCCTCCTCCCCTCTCACCCCCCCTTCCTCTGCTGCTCCTGTACCCCTTACAAGCTGCCTCGGAGTCCCCTTAGGAGAAGGCTCACTTTCCTCAGCGGTGTGTACATTCAATCGCTGGGCCCGCCCTTCTGTACTCGCTATAGCAGGAGGCAGTTTCTTAAAGAGAGGCTTGGAAATGAAGGAGGATGGGCTGGGAGGTTCAGATCCAAAGGATGACCCAAACGAGGAGCTTGACAATTGGCCCATCAGTAACTTATCCTCGTTATGAACTGCTCCAGTTAGTGATGACGCCACTCGTTCTAGCTGCTCCGTTTGCTGCTTTCCCTTATTCGCACCTTCTTCTACCCGACTCTGCGCCCCATCCTCCTTACAATCTATCTCAATAAATAATGCTGATTCGCTACAAGCTCTTGACTCGTTGCAAGCTCTTGTCCCGTCCTCATGCTCTTCCCCTTGCCCCCCTTTAACTGCCCCCTTATCTTCCGCCCTCACTTCCTTGGTACTTGACAAGTTCCCTTTCCCCGCCTCCCCACCTCCTTCCCCACACTCTCCCACCTCCCCTCCTTCCTTTGCCCCTCTCGATGCCAAACTCCCCTCTCCAGTATCCCATTTTCTTGCCTTTTCCTTCTCTTCAGTAAGCTCTGCTTGCTGCTGCTCCTCTTGCCGTTTCTCTTTCAGCTCTCCTTTCTGCGTCACTTCCTGCTGTTGCTCCCGTTGTTGCCCCCCCTGCTGCTCTCCTTTTTCAGGACTATCGTGCTTCGCTGCTGCTATTTCATCTGTACACTCCATCCTTAAATTCACCCCGTCAGCAGGCTCATCCCCGTTAATATACTCAACCCCGTTAGTATTCTCACCCCCGTTAGCTGCCCCGTTAGTAGACTCAACCCCGTTAGCGAACTCAGTCCCGTTAGTAGACTCAACTCCGTTAGTGAACTCAGCCCCGTTAGAAGACTCGCCATTAACAGATTGTACAGCATTAGCAGACTCGACGCCTGTCCGAAACTCCTCATCCCCCTTAAGAGATGACCCTTTGTACTCCTCATAGTTGTCCTTCTCATCCTGAGAAACGCCTGTAATCGTCTGAGTATTCAATACTTCCTTGCAATCTCCCTTCGATTCTGCTTTCATTTCTTCCTTCACCGATTCTTCTTTTGAAGCTCCATTCGCTTCTTCCATACAGGCCTCTGCCTTCGGCGACTCCCGAGATATTTCTTTAAGAGCCTTGCCTTTCTCTGGCTCCTCGAGGGAAGATCTCAGCCGTCCATTCTCCTCCTCCTCCTCTACTCGCTGCGTCACCTCCGCCTCCTCCTTCCGCCGCTCCTCCTCCCCATCTTTCCGCCTCTCCTCCCCCTCCCCAGCCAAAGCGCCGTCCGACTCCGCCTTACCCCGCGCACGCCAGCCAGACCCGCCGCCAATCCCCCTTCCGCCCATGGACGCGCTATGAGCGCCTGTTCCGTTATTAGCACCTGTCCCGCTATGAGCGGCCGTCCAGCTATGCGCGGCTGTCCCGCTACGAGCGCCTGCCATGCTAAAGGAGGCGCCTTTCCCGCTAGAAGCGCCTTTCCCGCTAGGAGCGCCTGTTGCGGCGGAACCTCGGGACGAGGACAGCGCTCCGCTCCTGAGGCGACTCAGATAAAGAGCCTTCCCCGTCAAACCCGCCGATTCTTCCGCGTTTCCCGTCGTCGCCTGCGCGTTTCCCCCCTTCGAGCCTGGTGACAACTTTCCCGCGTCGCCAGCAGACGGTCGCTTCGTAATCTCCTTAGAGAGTTTTTCGACTTTATTCTGAAGGTCCATGTTTTTGAACTTATACTTTCCTAACTCCACTTCTAAAGCCGTTATTTTTTCTTCCAGCTCTTTTCCCGCGCCGCCACTTCCCCGGGGCCCCGGAGAACCCAGCGCGGAAGCTTCCGCGCGCGCTTTCCATTTTTCCGCCTCCGCGCGCAGGTTTTCCGCCTCCGCGCGGGAAATGCTCTGCTTCTTCCACGCATCGAGCTCCGCCGTGACTGCCGCTGCGAGGTCTTTCGCGGCTCGTAGCTCGGTCTGTAGGCGGTCGACCTTGCAACGAAGGTCAGAGTTTTTTATTCGAAGCTGCCCGAGTTCCACTTCCAAAGCCACATCGTCCTTCGCCATTGCCCGCCAGCTCTAACTACTTCGGCGAAACGACCTACTTGTATAAACTTCTAAGTTCCACGAGCATTCTAGCTTTCCCGAGAATCCTAGGTTTCTTCGGGCATTCTAGGTTTCTCCGAAGGATTCTAGGCATCCTTATCCTTTCTAGGTTTCTCCGAGCCTAGGTTTTGCTCACCATTCAATACTGGTGCTCCTTTCCTTCCTCCCACCCCTCCAAAAGCGCGTTGCATTGGGATTTTCGTACTTGGGATCGTCTCTTCTTGGGATTCGCGCTTTGTTTGGCATGGAGGGGCATTCACGAAAAGTGATTGTCAGTGCCTAGCAATCTTGACACGTACCTCCCAAGGTCGTCCCAATCTCAGGTACGTTCGGCGTCCTCGGGAATTCCGAACTCAAACTCCCACATACAGAAGGAGTTCCTCCAGAAGTGTTTTCCTTTGTCTGCTTGTTTCAAGAAATGTGCTGTGTTGAGAAACTCGGCTGAGGAATTTGATTCATAAGGAAGTGTACCGAATACGCCTCAGGTTCTCGGTTGGACTTTGGATGCTTTCATGTTTCGCGGACGTGATCGGGCGTTACAGTTTGGTGCTTTGTTTTTTCATACGTTCTAGCGTGGTTCCAGAGGCAAAAGGCTAACTGATTCTGTCAACCCTCAGTGCTATAAGTTACAATAATGTGTGTGGTGTGAAATACATAATTAAGAAAACTCCTGAATCGATATATGAAGGTACATGAAGGCTAAATAAATTCGTGATATTACCCTAAACCGACGGCAAGCAAGTAGCACCAAGGTCAAGAAATATTATAGAACTCAAAACTATTGCTCTTAAACAGTCCTACAAAGATATCGAAGCCCATTCTACTGAAAATATGGGTGTAATGCCGTGAACTGTACAGTAAGGACGTGTCTTAGTTCGCTTTTGATTGCGCGATCAATAACTTCCAGGAAAGTAAGAAAGCGATTTCAGGCAATCGGGGGCAATCACCTGATCGCGATCAGCTGATCGCCCCAACACGATCAACCGCCTAAAACAGCCCAATCAAACACAATCCAACACAATCACCGACGATCACTTGATTGCATTTGTTTGGGGTACTAAGCGAATCTGACGAAATCTTACATTGTTCGACATTGACTCGTGAATTCGTCGTGAATACCCCGCCGTCGCGAATCTGGAACTGCAGCATTTCTGGGCACCTGATTTCGCAAAATAGGGAAACAATAAACTCGCTATATCCATGCCGAGGAGTTCGCAGTCGCCAAAGTGTGCCCGAAAGTAGGTTCGGACGTTTGCCACGTACCCTCGTAAAATTTTCGAGGAAAGTCTTAGCTGATCGGGCGGTGCGAGCTATTCAAACAAAGGCAACCCGATCAGATCAGCCTCGACCAGATCACAGCCGACCAGAGGCGAACCGAGACACGTCCTAATGCCCAGCAGCCATAGGCCAAGTGGCACGCGTGTTCGCACAGACTACACCTACCAACAGACCGAAGTGGCAGGAGAACCCTTCCGACAACTTGCTGCTCTCTCCTCCCTCCCGAAACTTCTCAAACTGACTGTACACCGGAATGCTGCACTTCATACAGCGACCGCATGAACTGTTGCTGGTCATACGCGCGTGTGCTTTGTTGGATATGAGTTGGGGGTGGATTGGGTTGGGGGGGTGACCTGACCTGACCTGACCGACTATGTGTGGGCATGTCGTTACGGCCGCACTCTTTCAACCCGAGCTTTTCCTGAGCTGATGCCTGTCGGTGTTTAGTTCACATCTTGTTGTCGGGGGAGGTGGCTTTGTGTTTGTGTAAGTAACTGCTCTGCATCCGAGAATACCTTGATTGTTTGGGTGCTCACAGTTTACATTTACTTTGCGTCATCGGTGCTGATACATTTTGCAAATTCACGCCTGCACAAAAATGCACTGCAACGGGGAAATGTGCCATTTCTTTTCCAAGCTCCTGACCGTGTCACACAGGTCAGGATGGGAGACCCGCACGTATACCAGACTTTTTCAGGTGCAATAACAGCTCTGGACGCAAGTTATCGGTTAGCCCACCACCCGTTTCACCAGCCGACGGATGGAAATGTACAGTTCTCGACAACGCCACCAACTAACGAGTAGCCACGTCGTTTTGTGGTGAGGGGAAACGCCAGCTGTGTGCTTCAAACAGAAAATTTGTCGGTGTGGAGGAGGCTGTTCTCCACATCATCGACTGGACTGTGTTGGAGGGGGGAAGGGAAGGGGATGCGGTGGTGGTGCTCAGTGGTGATGGGTGAAGGGGAATGTTGGTGGGTGATGGTAGGTGGTGGTGGTGTGGCGGGGGACTTCAGAGTAGGAGGTTTGAAGAGAAATTCAGGTGAGGTGACTGTTTAGTCCAAACTTCTGAATTTTAAAACAAGCCCAGCGCTAGGACGTATGAGCAGGATATATTAGGGTTTGAGGAAGGAGTAAGCGTGTATATTTTTTATTCCGACAATAATAGTGTCTGCTCTGCTACCAAATCCGATAGGGAATCACAACGCGACGGATGCTCGGTTGTTCACTAGTTAGCTTTTCATATTTCACGAACGCGAAGACTGCACTGCGAACTGCATACAAGAACAGGACACCTAGATACCAGGTTCCACACACGGGATGAGGACGCACTTAGGAGCAGGTCGGAAGTCCGTCGTCAGCATCGTCCTCCTGTTTATTTGTTTAGCTTGCGAAGCCACGGCTGCGAAGCCACCCAAGATCGCGCCGGGAAGAAGAGAGCTGAATGGCGCGAACAAGGCCATTCAGAAAGCTCGGAGATTCAACGTTTTTCTTATACATATGAAGAAAACAAGTAAGCATTCCTTGCTTGTTTCCCTACTTACGTCCATCCATCTTCCCTCTCCCGCTCCCCCTCCCCCCCCCCCCCCCCCCCCCCCCCCCCCCCTCCTTCCCTCCTCTGTTTCTCCATCATGTTTTTCCGTCGCCATTTGCCCCCTCTCCCTTCCACTCGCTCTCCTTTCATCATCTCTCCCCCCCCCACACTCTCCTTCCCCCCAACACCCCACCACCACCACCCATGCTTCCCCTTCTCTCACCCCCGCTCTCCCTCCTCCCAGATTTGGATACGTTCATTGGCAGATACGCGGACCGGCAGCCACTAACCTTTCTGATGCCTCGGGACGAAGCGTTCTCTGCACTTCCAGCCAACATCCGCCAGCAGTTATCGGGAAAGAAGCTGGTGCAGGTGATACAGTACCATATGATCATGGAAAAGTGGGGGATCACGTTCCTTTCAGCTCCAAGAAATCAAAGGTTTTTGCGCGCCTTTCGCACCGTACTTGGAACGTACATTTTTGTACTTCCAAATGACGTGAACAGGGTCGTGAGGATAAGTTCCGTCAGGTATGCCACTGCGAATACAGCAAGTGTCATTTCTGGTGATATTGGTGGAATGAATACCTTCCTTAGGTTTGCGTGCCATGGGGTTGACAAAGTTATTATCCCTCCTGGGGTTTTCTAGTCGAGGGATGGATAGATTCGCCAGTTTTGCGTGGTAAATAGTAGTAATATTATTTTATGTTGCACAACCTGTTGACTGTAACATACAGTACTACCGGTAGTTAGAATTTGTACAACTCAATGGCAGTCATTGCTAATGGTCTGGATTGTTGCAGTTTTTTTGTCTCCGTGGTCGCACTCAGTTCATTACTATGTATCTGGCAAACGCTGGTCATCTCTAGGCTCAATAACTTGGTTGAACTCTTCTCTCCTTGCCAGTGGTATCCCAACAGGGATTTCCTCACTTTTCACTTGGGAATAAGAGTGCATGCTGCCGCAGTTGGCACAAGTTATCTTGCATTTTATGCGACAACGCACAAAATACATGTATATGTTGTAGTTCCTACACAGGATCATAGCTGTCTTGTCGCGAACCTCCGCATCCCCTTCGAACCAAAATTTAATCGCGTTGACTTGCGTTGAGCAATTCAAGGTCTCCTTCCCACGGATAAACTGTACCACCACCAGACCAGGGGACAAGGAGCCAGTCACCCCAATTTTCATCGAGGGGGAAACGCCAGCCGTGCGCGTCCAACAGAATTTATTGGTTTGCAGGGGATGACTTCGCACAAATCTACTGCCATGTTGGGAGGGAAAAAACTGAATAGGGGGTCGCGGTGGTGGTGGTGGTGGTTGGTGATGGGCGTTTGTGGTGGGTGATGAAGGGTGGTGACGGGTGATAGAGGGTGATGGTGTGTTGTGGGCTTGGGAATAACCAAGCAGGCGAGGTGGGGTCATGGGAATGGCGGATACAAAACAAGCCGACGAAACAGCCTCACCTTTCCTGCTGTTCCGAGGTGAGGTCATGGGAAGGGATCGCCAATCCAGCCCACAGTGGATGGAACTAGCCTGAATAGGAGGGTGTGAGAAAATATGCTTGTGTACGTATCGCGAATCGCTTGCTCAGTATACCGAGTTAAGGAGAGTGCAACGCTTGCGATGCTTCGCACTGCTCCGCTTTTCATTCCTCACAAACGCGTGCGTTGCGAACTGCGAACAGGAACAGGACACCCCTAGGTTTCTCGCCTAGAGTTTCGGACACGGAATGAGGTCGACCTCACGAGCAGTTCCAAAGGGCGTCGTCAGCACCGTCCTTCTCGTTGTTTGTCTAGCTTGCGATGTTACGGCTG